GGGCTATTTTGGGGTTATTTTGGGGGTATATTCTGGTTATTTTTGGGGCTATTTTGGGTATATTTTGGCTATTTTTGAAGGTATTTTTGGGTATTTTCAGGAGCTATTTTGGGGTGATTTTGGGGTAATTTTGGGGTTATTTTCACTCACCTGGGGTCCCCGTAGTACCCCGGGGCGCAGCTCTGGCAGTGGGCGCCCGTGGTGGGGGTTATTTTGGGGGTATTTTGGGGGTATATTCTGGTTATTTTGGGGTTATTTTTGGGGTATATTTTGGCTATTTTTGAAGGTATTTTTGGGTATTTTCAGGAGCTATTTTGGGTAATTTTGGGGTGTTTTTCACTCACCTGGGGTCCCCGTAGTACCCCGGGGCGCAGCTCTGGCAGTGGGCGCCCGTGGTGGGGGGCTGGCAGTGGCAGAGCCCCGAGCTGGGGTGGCAGAAGCCCCTCAGGGGGTCCCCGTGGCCGTGGCAGAGGCAGGGACGGCACCCCCGGGACCCCCCCGGGCCGAAACTGCCCGGCCGGCAGCGCTGGCAGCGAGGACCCTCCGTCCAGTCTGGGGGGGGGACACAAAAATAGACATTTGGGGGGTTAAAGGGGATTTTGGGGGTTTGGGGGGTTTGGGGGGTTGGGGAAATTGGGGGAGATTTCAGAAAGTTTGGGGGATTTGGGGGGTTTGGGAGGATCTCAGGGGATTTGGGGGGGTTAAAGGGATTTGAGGGGATTTGGGGGATTTGGGAGGGTCTGGGGACCTTCTGTTCAATTTGGGGGTCTTGGGGATTTGGGACCCCTGTTCAATTTGGGGGATCTGGGGGGTTTGGGGGGTTTAAAGGGGATTTGGGGGATTTGGGGAGGATTTGGGAGGGTCTGGGGACCCCTGTTCAATTTGGGGGATTTGGGGGTCTTGGGGGATTTGGGGGTTTAGGAGGGATTTGGGGGGATTTGGGGGGATTTGGGGGTTTAGGGGGATTTGGGGGGATTTGGGGGTTATGGGGAAATTGGGGGAGATTTCAGAAAGTTTGGGGGATTTGGGGGTTAAAGGGGATTTGGGGAGATTTCAGAAAGTTTGGGGGATTTGGGGGGTTTGGAAGGATTTGGGGGTTTAAAGGGGATTTGGGGGATTAGGGGTTTGGGGGGATTTGGGGGATTTGGGGGATTTGGGAGGGTTATGGGGAAATTGGGGAGATTTCAGAAAGTTTGAGGGGGGATTTGGGGGGTTTGGGAGGATCTCAGGGGGATTTGGGGGGTTAAAGGGGATTTGGGGGAATTGGGGAGATTTGGGAGGGTCTGGGGACCCTGTTAAATTTGGGGGATCTGGGGGGATTTGGGGGGTTTAAAGGAGTTTGGGGGGATTTGGGGGATTTGGGAGGGTCTGGGGACCTTCTGTTCAATTTAGGGGATTTGGGGACCCCTATTCAATTTGGGGGGATTTGGGGGTTTAAGGGGATTTGGGGGCACTCGGACCCCTGGGAAGCTGCCCGGCCGGCAGCGCTGGCAGCGAGGACCCTCCGTCCAGTCTGGGGGACACAAAATACAAATTTGGGGGGGTTTGGAGGGATTTGGGGGATTTGAGGGGGTTAAAGGGGATTTGGGGGTTTAAAGGGGATTTGGGGGGTTTGAGGGGATTTGGGGGATTTGGGGGGTTTTGAGAAGGTTAAAGGGGATTTGGGGGGTTGAGGGGATTTGGGGGGATTTGGGGGGTTTAAAGGGGATTTGGGGGGATTTGGGGGTTTAAAGGGGATTTGGGGGCACCCTGGGACCCCTGGGCGAGACTGCCCGGCCGGCAGCGCTGGTAGCGAGGACCCTCCGTCCAGTCTCGGGGGACATGGAAATGAGGATTTAAAGGGATTTTGGGGGTTTGGGGAGGATTTGGGGAGTTGGGGGCGTTTTGGGGATTTTGGGGGATTTGGGGGATTTGGAAGGATTTGGGGGATTTGAGGGGGTTAAAGGGGATTTGGGGGATTTGGAGGGGATTTGAGGGGGTTATGGGGGAAATTGGGGGATTGAAGGGGATTTGGGGGAGCTGGAAGGGATTTGGGGAGTTTGGAGGGGTTTGGGGGTTAAAGGGGATTTGGGCGAGTTGGGGGAGATTTGGGAGGGTTAGAGGGATTTTAAAGGTGATTTGGGGAGGATTTGGGAGGATTTGGGGGATTTGGGGGTTTGGGGGATTTGGGGGTTTAGGGGGAATTTGGGGAGATTTGAGCAGGTTTATGGGGAATTGGGGGTTGGGGGCATTTGGGGGATTTGGAAGGATTTGGGGGGTTTGGAGGGTCTTGGGGAGGATTTTGGGGGGATTTGGGAGGGTCTGGGGACCCCCGTTCAATTTGAGGAGGATTTGGGGGATTTGGGGATTTGGGGGAGGTTGAGGGGGATTTTAGGGGTTTGGGGCGTTAAAGGGGATTTTGGGGGGTTTTGGGGGTTTTGGGCTCCATTTTGGGGTTGACTTGGGGATCTAGGGTGGATTTTGTGGGGATCTGGGGGTGGATTTGGGGTGGATTTTTGGGGCTTTTGGGGTCTCAGGGGGTCATTTGGGCTCAGATTTTGGGGGCGATTTTGGGGATTTGGGGTTGATTTTGGGGGGGATTTGGGGTGGGAATTTTGGTGTTTTGGGGGAGATTTTTGGGGCGATTTTTGTGGCGATTTTTGGGATTTTTGGGGCGATTTTTGGGGCGATTTTTGTGGGGATTTTGGGGTTTTTGGGGGTTATTTTGGGGATTCTGGGGGTGATTTGGGGGTTGATTCTCATGGGTTTTGGGGTTGATTTTGGGGCGATTTTTGGGGCGATTTTTGGGGCAATTTTTGAGGCGATTTTTGGGATTTTTGGGGCAATTTTTGGGCCAATTTTTGTGATTTTTGGGGCGATTTTCGGGGTAATTTTTGTGATTTTTGGGCTGATTTTTGGTGCGATTTTCCAGGGATTTTGGGGTGATTTTGGGTGGATTTGGGACCTCCCCACTCACTCTGGCACTGATCACAGACCCCGGCCCCCTTCTCGCAGGAGCTGTGGAAGTGGCACCCCGGGGTCTGGGGAGCTCAGGGGGATTTTGGGGTCCAATTTGGGATTTTTGGGGGATTTGGGGCGATTTTGAGGATTTTTGAGGCAATTTTGGGATTTTTGGGCGATTTTTGTGCCGATTTTTGGGACAATTTTTGGGGTGATTTTGGGGATTTTGGGGTAATTTTTGGGATTTTTGGGGTGATTTTTGGGCGATTTTTGGGATTTTGGATGATTTTGGGACAATTTTGTGATTTTTGGGGCGATTTTTGAGACGATTTTTGGGATTTTGGGCTGATTTTTGGTGCGATTTTTCCAGGGATTTTGGGGCGATTTTGGGGTGATTTGGGACCTCCCACTCACTCTGGCACTGGTCACAGACCCCGGGCCCCCCCTTCTCGCAGGAGCTGTGGAAGTGGCACCCGCAGTCCACCGAGCACAGCCGGGCTGGGGGGTCCTCGTCCCTCCCCCAGGGTGACGTTGGGGGTCCCGGGGGTCCCCGAGGTCTCAGGGGGTTGGGAGGTTTGTCCAGCCCAGGTCGCAGATGCAGGTGAAGTTGGGGGGTCCTGAGCAAGTCCCGTGCCCGCAGTCGTCGTAGCACCTGAGATTTTGGGGAATTTGAGTTTTGGGGTTTTTGGGGTTTTGGGGTTTTGGGTTTTTTGGGTTTTTGGGGTTTTGGGGTTTTGGGGTTTGGGGATTTGGGTTTTGGGGGTCTGGGGGGTTTCAGGTCCCCCCCTTCAAAGAGACCCCAAAGACCCCAGAGGCCCCAAATTGGAACTCAACCCCCAAAATCATCCCAAGAGCTCCCAAAGAGACCCCAAACCCAAACCACAACCCCTAGAGCCCACCTAAATCCCAAACTCCCAAATCCCCCAAATCTTAACCCCTTGAGCCCAACCCTCCCCAAATCCTCCCAAACTCCCCCAAATCCCCCAAATCTTAATCCCCGACTTGCCACGACCTCCAACCCCCCAAATCTCAACCCCCAACCCCAAACCCCCAAATCCCCCAAAACTCAACTCCCTGACTTCCACGACCCCCAAACTCCTCTTTATCCCCCAAATCCCTCAATCTCCCCAAATCCCCCAAATCTCCCAAACTCCCTTTAATCCCCCAAACCCTCCCCAAATCTTAATCCCTGACCCAAACCCCCAAATCCCCCTAAACTCCCCAATTCCCCCAAACCCCCAAATCCCCAAATCCCCCAAACTCCTTTAATCCCCCAAACTCCCCTTTAATCCCCCAAATCCCCCAAAGCCCCCAAACTCCTTTAATCCCCCAAACTCCCTTTAATCCTCCCAAACCCCCAAATCTTAACCGCCTGAACCCCCAAACCCCCCAAATCCCCTAAACCCCTTCCAGGGGGTTTCTCACGTGGGCTGGCAGTCGGTGACCCCGTCCCCCTGAAGCCCCTCCTGCAGAGGCACTCCCAGGCCTGGGGGTGTTCCCCCATAACCCCCCAAATCTTAACCCCTGACCTCCAAACTCCCCAAACTCCCCTGAACCCCCCAAACCCCCTAAATCCCCCAAATCTCACTCAAACTCCCCAAAAGTCCCCCAAATCCCCCAAACCCCATAAATCCCCCAAACTCAACTCCTCTGACTTCCAGGACCCCAAACTCCCCTTTAATCCCCCCCAAACCCCCCCAAATCCTTAACCCCCAGATCCCCAAACCCTCCCAAATCCCCCAAATCCCCCAAACCCCCCAAATCCCCTTCAAAGCCCCCAGGTGGATTCTCACGTGGGCTGGCAGTCGGTGACCCCGTCCCCCTGAAGCCCCTCCTGCAGAGGCACTCCCAGGCCTGGGGGTGTTCCCCCAAACCCCCAAACCCCTCAAATCCCCCTAAACCCCCTAAACCTTCCCAAATCCCCCCAAATCCCCCAAACTCCCGAAATCCCCCAAATCCCCCAAAACTCAACTCCCTGACTTCCCATGACCCCCAAACTCCCTCTAATCCCCCAAATTCTCCAAATCCCCCAAATCTTAACCCCCGACCCCAAACCCCCAAATCCCCCTAAACTCCCTACAATTCCCCCAAATCCCCCATAATCCCCCTAAACTCCCCAAATCCCCCAAAACCTCAACTCCCCAGACTCCCCAAACCTCCCCAAATCTTAGCCCCTCCCTGTGGATCCTCACGTGGGCTGGCAGTCGGTGACCCGTCCCCCTGAAGCCCCTCCTGCAGAGGCACTCCCAGGCCTGGGGGTGTTCCCCAAATACCCCTAAACCCCTAAACCTCCCAAACCCCTCAAACCCCCTGAACCTTCCAAATCCCCCTAAACCTTCCAAACCCTCCAAATCCCCCAAAACTCAACTCCTGACTTCCTAGGACCCCCAAACTCCCCCAAATCCCCCAAATCCCCCCAAATCTTAACCCCCGCCAACCCCCAAATCCCTCCCAAACCCCCAAATCCCCCAAACTCCCCTTTAATCCCCTAAACCCCCCAAATCTTAACCCCTGACCCCAAACCCCCAAATCCCCCAAACCCCCCAAATCCCCCAAAATCCCTCCGTGGGGTTCCTCACGTGGGCTGGCAGTCGGTGACCCCGTCCCCCTGAAGCCCCTCCTGCAGAGGCACTCCCAGGCCTGGGGGTGTTCCTGCAGCGGGCCCGGGGTGGCACCGAGCGACCCCCAAGCCGCACTCGTCCACGTCAGGGCACTCCCGTACCACCAGAGCCCCGGGGAGGGAGACCCCGCAGGTGGGGAGACCCCGGGGAGGGGAGACCCCGGGGTGGTGGGGAGACCCCGAGGGGGAGGGGAGGAGGGGAGGCTCCCACCACGAGCAGTTTGGGGAGGAGGAGGAGCCCCCCTCAGAGACCCCGAGAAGTCGCCTGGAAGGCACCTGGAGGAGGGGAGAGGGGGAGGGAAAGGGGGAGGGTTAGAGAACACCAGGAACCTCCCAAGACCCCCAGGACTCCTCAAGACCCCCAGATCATCCCAAGACTCCCCAGATCATGCCAGGACCCCCAGATCATCCCAGGACCCCCAGATCAACCCCAGGACTTTGAGACCCCAAGACCCCCCAGGACTCACAGAACACCCCAGGACCCCCGGATCATCCCAGGACCCCCAGGACCCCCAAGACCCCCAGATCATCCTGGGACCCCCAGGACCCCTCAAGACCCCCAGATCATCCCAGGACCCCCAGAACAATCCCAGGACTCTGAGACCCCCAAGACCCCCAGATCATCCTGGGACCACCCAGAACCCCCAGACCCCCCAAGACCCCCAGATCATCCCAAGACCCCCAGGACTCCCAGAACACCCCCAGGACCCCCGAGATCATCCCAGGACCCTCCAGGACCCCCCAGATCAACCCCAGGACTCTGAGACCCCCAAGACCCCCAGATCATCCCAGGAGCCCCAAGATCCCCAAATTCCCCAGGACCCCCCAAGATCCCCAGATCATCCCAAGACCCCCAGGACCCCCAAAGACCCCCAGATCATCCCAAGACCCCCAAGACACCCCCAGATCAACCCCAGGACTCTGAGACTCCCCAAGACCCCCAGATCATCCCAAGACCCCAGGACCCCCAGATCCCAACCCCAGGACTTTGAGACCCCCAAGACCCCCAGACCATCCCAGGACCCCCAGGACTCCAAAGACCCCCAAAATCCTCCAAATCTCTCCCAGGACACCCCCAGGACTCCCCAGATCATCCCGAGACCACCCAGGACCCCTCAAGACCCCCAGATCATTCTGGGACCCACCAGGACCCCAAATTCCCCAGGACCCCCAAGACCCCCAGATCATCCCAAGACCCCCGATCATCCCAAGACCCCCAGGACCCCCAGGACTCACCAGAACACCCCCAAGACCCCCAGACCATCCCGGGACCCCAAGACACCCCAGATCAACCCCAGGACTCCCGAGACCCCCAGACCATCCCAGGACCCCCAAGACCCCTCAAGACCCCCAGATCATCCCAGGACCCCCAGATCAATCCCAGGACTTTGAGACCCCCAAGACCCCCCAGATCATCCCAAGATCCCCCAGACCATCCCGAGACCCCCAGATCATCCCAAGACCCCAGGACCCCCAGATCATCCCAGGACCCCCAGGACCCCCAGACCATCCCAGGACCCCCAGATCATCCCAGGACTCCCTGGACCCCCAGATCACCCCAGGACTTTGAGACCCCCAAGACCCCCAGACCATCCAGACCCCCAGGACCCCAAATTCCCCAGGACCCCCAAGACCCCCAGATCATCCTGGGACCCCAAGGACCCCTCAAGACCTCCCAGACCATCCCAGGACCCCCAGGACCCCCAGATCTCCCAGGACCCCCCAGACACCCCCAGATCATCCAGGACCCCAGGACCCCCCAAGACCATCCCAGGACCCCCAGATCATCCCAAGACCCCAGATCATCCTAGGACCCCCCGATCATCCCAGGACCCTCCCAGACCATCCCAAGACCCCTGAGCCCCCAAATTTGGGGACCCCTAAAGACCCCAAAGAGCCCCTAACCCCCTCCCACCCCCCAAATTCCCTCCTCAAACTCCTCTGATCCCTTCAAACCCCTCCAAGACCCCCAAAACCCCCAAACCCCCAAAACCGAAGCCCCCCGACCCTCCCCGACCCCCAAATTTGGGGACCCCCAGACCCCAAGCCTGCCGATGGAGGGTTGTCCCCCTCCCACACCACCCAAAATTCCCGTTTCATTCCCTCAAGACCCCCAAAACCCTCCAAGACCCCCAAAACCCCCAAACCCCCAAAACCTGAACCCCCGACCCCCCGACCTCCCCGAGCCCCCAAATTTGGGGACCCCCAAACCTGCCGATGGAGGGTTGTCCCCCTCCCACACCCCCAAAATTCCCATTTCATTCCCTCCAAGACCCCCAAAACCCCCTCAAATCCCCCAAGACCCCCAAAACCCCCAAGCCCCCAGAACCGAACCCTCCCGACCTCCCCGACCCCCAAATTTGGGGACCCCTAAAGACCCCGAGGACCCCCAAGACCCCCAGAGCTGCCTCAAACCCCTCCCACCCCTCCCAAATTCCTCCCTCAAAGCCCTCCGACCCCTCCGAAACTCCCAAAATCACCCAAACCCCCCAAACCCCCAAATCCCCCAAAACACGACCCCCGACCCCCAAATTTGGGGGACCCCCCCAGACCTGCCGATGGAGGGGTTGTCCCCCCTCCCACACCAGCCACAGCCGTGCTGGGCGAGGCACTCTCGGCAGTTTCGGAGCTGGGGGCACTCCCGGCACTGCGGGGCCGAGTGGACGCTGGGAAAAGACCCCCAAAAGTCACCCCAAAACCCCAATTTAATTCAAATTAAACCCTCCCAGGACCCCAAAAATCCCAAATTAATCCAAATTAAAGCCCCCAAATCCCCCCAGGACCCAAAAACCCCCAATTTAATTCAAATTAAATTCAATTTAATTCAAATTAAACCCCCCCAGGACCCAAAAAACCCCCCAATAAATCCCAATTTAATCCAAATTAAATTCAAATTAATCCAAATTAAACCCCCCAGGACCCAAAAAATCCCCCCCAGGACCCAAAAAATCTCCAATAAATCCCAATTTAACCCAAATTAAATCCAAATTAATTCAAATTAAACCCCCCCAAATCCCCCCCAGGACTCTGAGTCGATGCTGATTTTTTTTTTGGGGGGGAAGGGGCCGAGTGGACGCTGGAAAAAGACCCCCAAAAGTCACCCCAAAAATCACTTTGGGACCCCCCCGGGGGGGGGGAGGGGGGGTTGGGACCACCAGGATGGTCCAAAGCTTCCAAATCCCCCCAAAATACCCCCAAAATGCCCCAAAAATCCCAATTTAATCCAAATTAAAGCCCCCAAATCCCCCCAGGACCCAAAAAATCCCAATTAAATCCAAATTAAATCCAAATTAATTCAAATTAAACCCCCCCAGGACCCAAAAAATCCCCAATAAATCCCAATGTAATCCGAATTAAATCTAAATTAATTCAAATTAAACACCCCAGGACCCAAAAAATCCCCAATAAATCCCAATTTAATCCAAATTAAATCCAAATTAATTCAAATTAACCCCCCCCAGGACCCAAAAAACCCCCAATAAATCCCAATTTAATCCAAATTAAATCCAAATTAATTCAAATTAAATTCAATTTAATCCAAATTAAACCCCCAAACCCCCCAGGACCCAAAAAACCCCCAATAAATCCCAATTTAACCCCAATTAACCCCAAATTAAACCCAAATTAACCCCCCCAAAACCCCCCCAGGACCCAAAAAATCCCAATTTAATTCAAATTAAATCCAATTTAATCCAAATTAAATCCAAATTAACCCCCAACCCCCAACACCCCAAAACCCCAATAAATCCCAATTTAACCCCAAATTAACCCCAATTAACCCCAATTAACCCCAATTAACCCCAATTAACCCCCCGTACCTGTCGGTCCAGCCCCGGCAGCCCCCGTAGGGGTACCTGGCCAGGTAGGAGGCGAAGAGGAAGCATTTTTGGGTCGAGGGGCACCAGGCACACTGAGAGGGGGGGGCGAGGCACTCCGAGCACGAGGAGCGGCTGGGGGGGGGCACAGAGACCCCTCAGACCCCTCCCCAAAAAAATCCGGGTCTCCAGGACCCCCAAAAACCCCAAAATCACCCCAAAATCCACCCGAAATGGCTCAAAATCCACCCAAAATCCACCCAAAACGGCTCAAAACTGACCCAAAATGACCCCCCAAAATCACCCCGAGCACGAGGAGCGGCTGGGGGGGGGCACAGAGACCCCTCAGACCCCTCCCCAAAAAATCCGGATCTCCGGGACCCCCAACACCCCAAAATCCACCCAAAATCCACCCGAAACCGCTCAAAACTGACCCGAAACGGCTCAAAATGACCCCAAAATCACCCCCAAAACACCCCGAGCACGAGGAGCGGCTGGGGGGGGGCACTGAGACCCCTCAGACCCCTCCCCAAAAAAAACCCGGGTCTCCGGGACCCCCAAAAACCCCCAAAATCACCCCAAAAACCACCCCAAAATCCACTCGAAAATGGCTCAAAATTGACCCAAAATGACCTGAAAATGACCCCAAAATGACCCCAAAATCACCCCAAAAATGACCCAAAAATACCCAGAGACCCCCCCCAAAAAAACCCCGCGTCCCCAGGACCCCCAAAAACCCCAAAAATCACCCCAAAAATCACCCCAAAATCCACCCGAAACCGCTCAAAACTGACCCAAAACGGCTCAAAACTGACCCCAAAATCACCCAAAATCACCCCAAAAACGACCCAAAAATAACCAGAGACCCCACCCCAAATAATCACGGACCCCCCCCCAAAAAAACCCCGGGACTCCAGGACCCCCCAAAACCCCAAAAATCACCCCAAAATCCACCCAAAATCCACCCAAAACCACTCCAAACTGACCCAAAATCACCCCAAAAACACCCCGAGACCCCCCCCAAAACACCCCGAGCACAGCAGCGGCTGGAGAGCACAGAACCCTCAGACCCTCCCCAAAAACCCGAGTCTCCAGGACCCCCAAAAACCCCAAAAATCACCCCAAAAATCCACCCAAAACGGCTCAAAACTGACCCAAAATCCACCCAAAATGGCTCAAAACTGACCCAAATTGACCCAAAATCACCCCAAAAATGACCTAAAAATAACCAGAGACCCCACCCCAAATAACCTCAGACCCCCCAAAAAACCCTGGGTCTCGGGACCCCCAAATCCCCCAAACCCTCCAAATCCCCCCAAGACCCCCAAGCCCCCAGATCCCCTCCTAATTCCCTCCAGGACCTCAAAGCCCCCAAAGCCTCCCCAAACCCCAAGCCTCTCAAATCCCTCAACCCCCATAAACCCCAAATCTCCCCCAAACCTCCCCAACCCCTCAAATCCCCCAAGACCCCTCAAATCCCCCAAATCCCCCAGCCACTGACCTGCTGCAGAGGGCAAGTCAGGGTCTCCCAGCAGCCCCCAAAACCCCCAAATCCCCCCAGGACCCCCAAATCCCCCAAATCCTTCAAATCCCCCAAACCCCCAAACCCCCAAATCCCTTAAATCCCCCAAACCCCCCAAATCCCCCAAATCCCCCTCAGGACCCCCAAATACCCCCAGACCCCCAAATCCCCCAAATCCCCCAGACCCCCAAATCCCTCAAACTCCCTCAAATCCCCTTTAAACCCCCAGGACCCCCCAGACCCCCAAATCCCCCAAATCCCCTTTAAACCCCCCAAATCCTTCAAAGCCCCCAGACCCCCAGACCCCCAATCCCCCAAATCCCCCAATCCCCTCAAATCCCCTCAAACCCCCAGGATCCCCCAGACCCCGCACCTCCAGAGTGGCCGTGCAGGTCTCTCACAACTCCCCCAAATCCCCTCAAACCCCCAAACCCCCAAATCCCCCTAACCCCCAAATCCCCTCAAACCCCCAAATCCCCTTAAATCCCCCAGGACCCCCAAACCCCCAAATCCCCTTTAAACCCCTCAGACCCCCCAAATCCCCTAAATCCCCCAAACCCCCAAATCCCCCAGACCCCCAAATCCCTTAAACCCCCCCAAATCCTCCAAACCCCCAAATCCCTTTAAACCCCCAAATCCCCCCAAATCCCCTTCAAACCCCCAAATCCCTCCAAACCCCCAAATCCTCCAAACCTCCCAAATCCTTCAAACCCCCAAATCCTCCCAAGACCCCCAAATCCCCTCCAAACCCCCAAATCCCTCAAACCCCCCAAATCCTCCAAACCCCCAAATCCCCCCAAATCCTTCAAACCCCCCTAAACCCCCCAAATCCTTTAAATCCCCCAAATCCCCTCAAACCCCCAAATCCCCTCAACCCCCCAAATCCCTTCAAATCCCCCAAATCCCCTTCAAAGCCCCCAGGACCCCCCAGATCCCCAAATATCCCCCAAATCCCTTTAAACCCCCAGACCCCCAAATCCCCAAATCCCCCAAGCCCCCAGGACCCCCCCAGACCCCCTCAAATCCCCCAGGACCCCCCAAATCCCCCAGGACCCCCAGCCCCGGACCTGCTGCAGAGGGCAGCTTTGAGGTCTCTCACAGCCCCCAAACCCCTCAAATCCCCCAAATCCCCCTCAAACCCCCAAATCCCCCAGGACCTCCCCAGACCCCCAAAGCCCCTCAAACCCCCCCAAAACCCCCAAACCCCCAAATCCCCCAAATCCCTTTAAACCCCCAAACCCCCAAATCCTTCAAACCCCCAAATCCCCCAATCCCCCCAAATCCCCTCCAAACCCCCCCAGGACCCCCCCAGCCCCGGACCTGCTGCAGAGGGGCAGTTTGGGGTCTCTACAGCCCCTGACGGCCGGCGTGCAAGCGAAGTCCCCCGTTTGGAGTCGGGGGGTCCCAGGGTCTGCCACTCGCAGAAAGGGTCCTGGGGGGGCCCCAAAATTAGAGGGGGGGTCACCACTGAGACCCCCGACCCAAAAAACCCCAAAAATCCCCAAAAAAATCCCAAAAAACCCAAAAAAAATCCATGGTGGGACCCCCAAAATCGACCCCCAAATCCCCCCTCAGGGTCTGCCACTCGCAGAAAGGGTCCTGGGGGGGCCCCCAAAATTAGAGGGGGGGTCACCACTGAGACCCCCGACCCAAAAAACCCCCAAAATCCCAAAAAAATCCCCAAAAAATCCCCCCAAAAACCAAAAAAATCCATGCTGGGACCTCCAAAATCGCCCCCCAAATCCCCCCCCCAGGGTCTGCCACTCGCAGAAAGGGTCCTGGGGGGGCCCCAAAATCAGAGAGGGGGTCACCACTGAGACCCCCGACCCAAAAAACCCCGAAAATCCCCCAAAAAATCAAAAAAAAACCCAAAAAAATCCATGCTGGGACCCCCAAAATCGGCCCCCAAACACCCCAAAATCGCCCCCCAAATCCCCCCCCCCAGGGTCTGCCACTCGCAGAAAGGGTCCTGGGGGGGGCCCCCAAAATTAGAGGGGGGGTCAGCAACGAGACCCCCGACCCAAAAAACCCCAAAAAAATCCCAAAAAAACCCCAAAAAATCCCCAAAAAAATCAATTCTGGGACCCCCAAATCCCCTCCATAATCCCCCCAAATCCCCTCCCTTTCATTCCAATCCCCACCAAACCCCCCCAAATCCCCCAAATCCCCCAAATCCCCCCAAACCCCCAAATCCCGTCCATAACCCCCCAAATCCCTCCTTTCATTCCAATCCGTAAATCCCTTTAAATCCCCCAAATCTCCCCCCATAACCACCAAAATCCCCAAATCCCCCCAAATCCCCTTTAAACCCCCAAACCCTCCCAAATCCCTCCCCAAGCCCCCTAACTCCCCCAAATCCCCCAAACCCCTCCATAACCCCCCAAATCCCTCCCCTTGTTCCAATCCCCCTAAATTCTCTCAAATCCCCCAAATCCCCCAAATCCCTTTTAATCCCCTCAACCCCTCATAACCCCCCAAATCCTCTTCAAGCCCCCAAACCCCCTAAATCCCTCTTAAACCCCCAAATCCCCCTAAACCCCCAAACTCCCTCAGATCCTCCAAACCCCCCAAATCCCCTTCCCTTCATTCAACCCCTAAATCCCATTCTAATCCCCCCAACCTCCCCAAATCCCCATCTAGTCCCCCAAATCTAGCCCCCAAACCCCCTCCCAAATCCCCACCTGAGCATAGGCAGGGCAGTCCTCCAAATCCCTTCAAATCCCAAACCCCCAAATCCCCCAAATCCCTTAATCCCCCAAATCCCCATAACCCCCATAACCCCCAATCCCCCAAACCCCCCTCCCCAAACCCCACCTGAGCACAGGCGGGACAGTCCCTCAAATCCCTCCAAGCCCCCAAATCCCCCAAATCCCTTAAACCCCCCCAAATCCCCCAAACCCCCAAATCCCCAAACCCCCAAATCCTCCAACGCCCCCCAAATCCCCCAATCCTTCATTACCAGCTTCCCAAATCCCCCAACCCCCAAATCCTCCAAATCCCCTCAAGCCCCCAAATCCCCCAACCCCCTCAAATCCCCCAAATCTCCTCAAATCCTCCTCTAAACCCCCAAACCCCCAAATCCCCTCCCCAAATCCCGTCCCTGAGCACAGGCGGGCAGTCCACCAAATCCCCTTCAAGCCCCCAAATCCCCCCAAATCCCTCCCCTTCATTCGAATCCCCCAAATCCCCTCAAACTCCCTCAAATCCCCCAAACCCCCAAATCCCTCATAACCCCCTAATCCCCCAAATCCCCCAAATCCCCCAAAACCCCTCCCTTCATTCCAACCCCTAAATCCCTTTAATCCCCCCAAATCCCTTTAAACCCCCTAAATCCCTTTAAACCCCCCAATCCCCCAAACCCCCTTTTCCCCCTCCCCACCTGAGCACAGGCGGGGCAGTCCCAGTGCTCCTCGCACGGGACGCAGTTCTGGGGGTCAGGACCAGGCGGGGCCCCCAACTCGGGGTCCCCTCCCCCGCAGGGCCCTCCCCCATCCCCCCCAAATCGGGGGTGGCAGGAGGAGCTGGGGGGGCACCACCCACAGCCCGAGTCCGCCAGGCACGCCAGGCACGAGGGGTACCCCGGGCAGCCCCCCGGGGACCCCCGGAACGGCTCCAGGAAGAAGAACGAGATCTCCTGGAAAGGGATTTTGGGGGGTTAAATTTACAGAAAACCCAAAAAAACAAAAAAATCCCCGTGAAAATCGGACCCAGGACACCCAAAATCGGCCCCAGGTACCCCGGGCAGCCCCCCGGGGACCCCCGGAACGGCTCCAGGAAGAAGAACGAGATCTCCTGGAAAGGAGATTTTGGGGTTAAATTTAGGGAATCACAAAAAAATCACCGAAAAAAAATCAAAAAAACAAAAAAAAACCCAAAAATCCCCATGAAAATCGGACCCAGAACACCCAAAATCGGTCCCAGGACCCCAAAAATCCACCCAAAATCGGTCCCAGAACACCCAAAATCAGCCCCAGGTACCCCGGGCAGCCCCCCGGGGACCCCCGGAACGGCTCCAGGAAGAAGAACGAGATCTCCTGGAATTGATTTGGGGGAAGATTTGGGGGTTAAATTTATAGAAAACCCAAAAAAACCAAAAAAATCCCCGTGAAAATCGGACCCAGAACACCCAAAATCGGCCCCAAAACACCCAAAATCCACCCAAAATCGGACCCAGAACACCCAAAATCAGCCCCAGGTACCCCGGGCAGCCCCCCGGGGACCCCCGGAACGGCTCCAGGAAGAAGAACGAGATCTCCTGGAAGGGAGATTTTGGGGTTAAATTTATAGAAAACCCCAAAAATCCCAGAAAAAAACAAAAAAACCCAAAAAAAACCCAAAAATCCCCATGAAAATTGGACCTAGGACCCCAAAAATCCACCCCAAAAATCGGCTCCAGGACCCCCAAAAATCGGCCCCAAAATCAGCCCAGAATTTACAGAATTTACAGAAAACAAAAAAAAATCCCCAAAAAAACCCCCAAAAATCCCAAAAAAAACCCAAAAATCCCCATGAAAATTGGACCTAGGACCCCAAAAATCCACCCAAAATCGGCCCCAGGTACCCCGGGCAGCCCCCCGGGGACCCCCGGAACGGCTCCAGGAAGAAGAACGAGATCTCCTGGAAGGGGATTTGGGGGGTCAAATTTAGGGAATCACAAAAAAATCCCAAAAAACCAAAAATCCCAGTGAAAATTGGACCTAGAACACCCAAAATCGGCCCCAGGACCCCAAAAATCCACCCCAAAATCGAACCCAGGGACCCCCGGAACGGCTCCAGGAAGAAGAACGAGATCTCCTGGAAAGGGATTTGGGGAAGATTTGGGGGTTAAATTTATAGAAAACCCAAAAAAATCCCAAAAAACCCCAAAAATCCCAGTGAAAATTGGACCTAGGACCCCAAAAATCCCCCCAAAATCGGACCCAGAACACCCAAAGTCCACCCAAAATCAGCCCCCGGGGACCCCCGGAACGGCTCCAGGAAGAAGAACGAGATCTCCTGGAAGGGGATTTGGGGGAAGATTTGGGGGTTAAATTTATAGAAAACCCAAAAAAACCAAAAAAATCCCCGTGAAAATCGGACCCAGAACACCCAAAATCGGCCCCAGGTACCCCGGGCAGCCCCCCGAGGACCCCTGAACGGCTCCAGGAAGAAGAACGAGATCTCCTGGAAAGGATTTTGGGGGGAAAAAAGATTTTGGGGGGGTCAAATTTACAGAAAACCCAAAAAATCCCCGAAAAAAAACCAAAAATCCCAAAAAAACCCCCCAAAATCCCCCAAAAAACCCAAAATCCCAAAAAAAAACCCCCAAAAAAATCCCAAAAAAACCCCCAAAAATCCCCCAAAAAACCCAAAATCCCAAAAAAAACCCCAAAAAATCCCAAAAAAACCCCAAAAAATCCCCCAAAAAAACCAAAAATCCAAAAAAAAACCCAAAAAATCCCAAAAAAACCCCCCAAAATCCCCAAAAGCCCAAAATCCCAAAAAAGACCCCAAAAATCCCTAAGAACACCAAAAATCCCACAAAAACCCAAAGATCCAAAAGAACCCCAAAGATCCCCGAAAAACCCCAAGATCCCAAAAAGGGCCCCAAATCCAGAAAAACCCAAATCCCAAAGAACCCCAAAATCCCAGCGAAATCGGACCTGGGACACCAAATCGACCCCAGAGACCCCAAGATCATTTAAAATCATTGGGATTTACAGAATTTACAGAATTCATGGAATTTACAGAGCAGGCGTTGAGGGACCCCAACCCCCAAACCCCCAAATCCCCCATAACCACCCCAGGGACCTTCAGGGACCCCCAAACCCCAAATCCCCCATAGCCCCCAGGGACCTCAGGGACCCCAGAACCCACCCAGGGACCCCCAAATCCCCCAAATCCCCATAACCCCCAAATCCCCCATAGCCCACCCAGGGACCTTAGGGACCCCAGAACCCACCAGGGACCCCAAATCCCCCAAATCCCCCAAATGCCCCTCAAATCACACTGAAAGACCCCATAACCCCCCAAATCCCCCATAACCTCCCCAAATCCCCCAGGGACCCCAATGCCCATCCCAGACCCCCAAATCCCCCGTTACCCCCAAATCCCCCAGGGACCCCCAAATCCCCCAAATCCCCCACCAACCCCCCAAATCCCCCAGGACCCCAATACCCATCCCAGACCCTCCAGGGACCCCCAAAACCCCCAAATCCCCATAACCTCCCCAAATCCCCATAATCCCCCAAATCCCCCATAACCCCCAGGGACCTTCAGGGACTCCCAGAACCCACCCAGGGACCCCAAATCCCCCCAAACCCCCATAACCCACCCAGGGACCTTCAGGGACCCCCAGAACCCACCCAGGGACCCCCAAATCCCCTCCCAAATTCCCCCAAACCCCCTATAACCCCCAAATCCCCCATAACCCCCAAACCCCCCATAACCCCCAAATCCCCCTCTTATCCCCCATAACCCACCCAGGGACCCCCAAATCCTCCATAACCCCCCCAAATTCTCCCATAACCCCCAAATCCCATCATAAACCCCCAAATCCCCCATAACCCCCAAACTCCCATTTACTGCCCTAAACCCCCAAATCTTGCCCAAGCCCCCAGGCACTCACGCTGCCCCCGGGACCCCATGCGTCCCAGGTGAGGGTGAGCTCGAGCTGAGCCCCCCGAGGCGTTGAGGGACCCCCAAAACACCCCCAAACCCCCAAATCCCCCCATAACCCCCAGGGACCTTCAGGGACCCCAGACCCCCACCCAGGGACCCCCAAATCCCCCAAATCCCTTCATAAGCCCCCAAACCCTCCCATCAACCCACCCAAATCCCCCAAATCCCCCAGAACCTCCCCAAATCCCCTTATCCCCCATAACCCCCCATAACCTCCCCAAATCCCCCAAGGACCCCAATACCCATCCTAGACCCCCAAATCCCCTTTATGCCCCCATAACCCCCAAATCCCCTTTATTCCCCCAAACCCCCAAATCTTGCCCAAACCCCCCAAATCTTGCCCAAACCCCCAAATCTTGCCTAACCCCCAAACCTTGCCCAAGCCCCCCGGGCACTCACGCTGCCCCGGGACCCCCGTGCGGTCCCAGGTGAGGGTGAGCTCCGAGCTGAGCCCCCGAGGCGTTGAGGGACCCCAAAACACCCCCAAACCCCCCATAACCCCCCATAACCCACCCAAATCCCCCCCATAACACCCCCAAATCCCCTTTATCCCCCAAATCCCCCATAACCCCCAAACTCCCATTTACTGCCCCCAAACCCCCAAACCCCCAAACCCCCCAAGCCCCCGGGCACTCACGCTGCCCCGGGACCCGGTGCGGTCCCAGGTGAGGTGAGCTCCGAGCTGAGCCCCCGAGGCGTTGAGGGTCCCCCAAAACACCCCCAAACACCCCCAAATCCCCCATAACCCCCAGGGACCTTCAGGGACCCCAGAACCCACCCAGGGACCCCCAAATCCCCCAAATCTCCCCTAGGGACCCCAATACCCATCCCAGACCCCTCCAGGGACCCCCAAAATCCCCAAATCCCCCATAACCCCCAGGGACCTTCAGGGTCCCCAGAACCCACCCAGGGACCCCCAAATCCCCCAAATCCCCCAGGGACCCCAATACCCATCCCAGACCCCTCCAGGGACCCCCAAAACCCCCAAATCCCCCAATAACTCCCCCAAATCCCCCATAACCCCACAGGGACCTTCAGGGACCCCCAGAACCCACCCAGGGACCCCCAAATCCCCCAAATCCCCCAGGGACCCCAATACCCATCCCAGACCCCCAAATCCCCCATAACCCCCAAATCCCCCATAACCCCCCAAATCCCCCTTTATCCCCCAAATCCCCCATAACCCCCAAACTCCCATTTACTGCCCTCAAGCCCCCATAACCCCCAAACCCCCCGGGCACTCACGCTGCCCCGGGACCCGGTGCGGTCCCAGGTGAGGGTGAGCTCGAGCTGAGCCCCCCAGAGGCGTTGAGGGACCCCAAAACACCCCCAAACCCCCAAACACCCCCAGAACCCACCCAGGGACCTTCAGGGACCCCCAGAACCCACCCAGGGACCCCAAATCCCCCAGAGACCCCAATACCCATCTTAGACCCCCCAATCCCCCATAACCCCCAAATCCTCCCAAACCCACCCAGGGACCTTCAGGGACCCCCAAAACTCCCCAAATCCCCCATAACCCCCAGGGACCTTCAGGGACTCCCAGAACCCACCCAGGGACCCCCAAATCCCCTAAATCCCCCAAATGCCCCTCAAATCACACTGAAAGACCCCATAAGCCCCCAAATCCCCCATAACCCCTCAAACCCCTAAATCCCCCTAAATCCCCCAGGGACCCCAATACCCATCCTAGACCCCCATAACCCCCAAATCCCCTTTATCCCCCATAACCGCCTCAAATCCCCCATAACCCCCAACTCCCATTTACTGCTCCTAAACCCCCAAATCCCCCAAACCCCCAAGCCCCCGGGCACTCACGCTGCCCCCCGGGACCCCGGTGCGGTCCCAGGTGAGGGTGAGCTCCGAGCTGAGCCCCCCCGAGGCGTTGAGGGTCCCCTCCACCTGCACCAGGTATTTGTTGCCCCTCTCGGGGGTCCCGAAGAGCCGCTCGAAGGGGCGGGGGCGGCGCAGGGGCCGCGTCTCCCGCTCCTGCTGGGCCCACCAGCGCCCCACCTCCTCCTGGGGGGGGCACCCCAAAATCAGGGGGGGGTCGGGGGAGACCCCCAAAAAAAGCTCAGAGCCCCCAGATTCACCAAAACCCCAAAATTCCCCCCAAAATTCATCCGGGACTATCAGAGACCCCCAGAGCCCCCCAGGACCACCAGGGCCCCACCTCCTCCTGGGGGGGCACCCCAAAATGAGGGGGGGTCGGGGGAGACCCCTCCCCAAAGCTCAGACCCCCAGATTCACCAAAACCCCGAAATTCCCCCCAAAATCCACCCAGAACTTCCTGGGACCCCCAGAGACCCCCAGGACCACCAGGACCACCAGGACCCCACCTCCTCCTGGGGGGGGTCCCAAAAATCAGGGGGTCGGGAGACCCCCAAAAAAAGCTCAGAGCCCCCAGATTCACCAAAACCCCAAAATTCCCCCCAAAATCCACCCAGAATCCATCCTGGGACCCCCAGAGACCATCTAGGACCACCAGGACCACCAGGACCCCACCTCCTCCTGGGGGGGCACCCCAAAATCAGGGGGTCGGTCAGAGCCCCCCCAAAAAAGCTCAGAGCCCCCAGACCCCCGAAATCCCCGAAATTCTCCTCAAAATCCACCCCGAGGATCCTGGGACCATCAGAGACCCCAGAGCCCCCAGGACCACCAGGACCCCACCTCCTCCTGGGGGGGCACCCAAAATCAGGGGGTCGGGGAGACCCTCCCAAAGCTCAGACCCCCCCAGATTCACCAAAACCTCAAAATTCCCCCCAAAATTCATCCGAGACCATCAGAGACCATCAGAGACCATCAGAGACCCCCAGGACCACCAGGACCCCACCTCCTCCTGGGGAGGGGTCCCAAAATCAGGGGGGGGTCGGGGGAGACCCCTCCCCAAAGCTCAGACCCCCCAGATTCACCAAAACCCCAAAATTCCCCCAAATCTCCTCAAAACCCCCAAAATGCTCCAAATCCCCTCAAATCCTCCCCCAAATCCCTCCAATCCCACCCCCAATTTGACTCAAACCCTCCAGGACCCCCCAAATCCCTCAAACCTCCCAGGACCCCAAACCCTCATAAATCCATCTCAAACCATCCTAAATCATCTCAAACCCCACCCAAACCTCCCCTAAATTGACTCAAAACCCCCAAAATTGACTCAAAACCCCCATAAAATCATCTCAAATCCCCCCAAAATTGACTCAAAACCCCATAAAATCATCTCAAACCCCCAAAATTGACTGAAATCCCCCAAATCCCCACCAAATTGACTCAAAACCCCCATAAAATCATCTAAAATCCCCATAAATCCCCCAAAATTGACTGAAATCCCCCCAAATCCCCCAAATCCTCACCATTTCAGGTGAGTTTGCCCTCCTGGCCATGGTGGCCACCACGTGCAGCCTCTGGATCCTGGCCCAGAACCCCCCCCAAACCCCCCATAAATCCCCCCAAATTGACTCAAATCCCCATAAAATCATCTCAAATCCCCATAAATCCCCCAAAATTGACTGAAATCCCCCCAAATCCCCCCAAATCCTCACCATTTCGGGAGCGTTTGCCCTCCTGGCCATGGTGGCCACCACGTGCAACCTCTGGATCCTGGCCCAGAACCCCCAAACCCCCAAATCCCCCAAATTGACTCAAACCCCCATAAATCCATCCCAAACCATCCTAAATCATCTCAAATCCCCCAAAATTGACTCAAATCCCCCAAATCCCTCAAATCCCCCAAATCCTCACCATCTCGGGAGTTTGCCCTCCTGGCCATGGTGGCCACCACGTGCAACCTCTGGATCCTGACCCAGAACCCCCAAACCCCCATAAATCCCCAAACCCATAAATCCCCCAAATTCACTCAAATCCCCCAAAATTGACTGAAATCCCCCCAAAATTGACTGAAATCCCCCAAATCCTCACCATTTCGGGGGAGTTTGCCCTCCTGGCCATGGTGGCCACCACGTGCAGCCTCTGGATCCTGGCCCAGAACCCCCAAAACCCCCAAATCCCCCAAATTGACTCAAATCGCCATAAATATTCAAATCCCTCAAAACCCCCAAAATTGACTGAAATCCCCCCAAATCCTCACCATTTCGGGGGAGTTTGCCCTCCTGGCCATGGTGGCCACCACGTGCAGCCTCTGGATCCTGGCCCAGAACCCCCCCAAACCCCCCCAAATTGACTCAAAACCCCCATAAATCCATCCCAAACCATCCTAAATCATCTCAAATCCCTCCAAAATCCCCCAAAATTGACTGAAATCCCCCAAATCCTCACCATTTCGGAGAGTTTGCCCTCCTGGCCATGGTGGCCACCACGTGCAACCTCTGGATCCTGGCCCAGAACCCCCAAAACCCCCTCATCCCCCAAATCCCCAAAATTGACCAATCCCCAAATCACCCCAAAATTGACTCAAATCCCCAAAATTGACTGAAATCCCCAAATCCTCACCATTTCAGGTGAGTTTGCCCTCCTGGCCATGGTGGCCACCACGTGCAGCCTCTGGATCCTGGCCCAGAACCCCCAAACCCCCATAAATCCCCCAAATTGACTCAAAACCCCAAAATTGACTCAAATCCCCATAAATGACTCAATCTCCAAAATCCCCAAAATTGCCTGAAATCCCCCAAATCCTCACCATTTCAGGGGAGTTTGCCCTCCTGGCCATGGTGGCCACCACGTGCAGCCTCTGGATCCTGACCCACACGGTGGGCCCGGGCCCCGGGCTGGGTGGGGGTCCCAGGAGGGGGTGGATGAAGCCCCTGAACACGAGGGACACCTCGGCGTCCCCGGGGGGGGTCAGGGTGATGGTCGTGCTGCGGATCAGAGACACCTGGGGGGCAAAAATGGGGTAATTTCAGTTAAATTTGAATTAATTTGAATTAATTTGGATTTAATTTGGGTTAAATTGGGATTTTTTGGGTCCTAGGGGGGGGTTTGGGGCTTTAATTTGAATTAAATTTGGATTTATTGGGAATTTTTCGGATCTTGGGGGGCTTAACTTGAATTAAATTGGGATTTTTTGGGTCCTGGGGGGGGTTAATTTGGATTAAATTGGGATTTATTGGGGATTTTTTGGGTCCTGGGGAGATTTGGGGAGTTTGGGAGGTTAATTGGAATTAATTTGGATTAGGGTAAATTGGGATTTATTGGGGTTTTTGGGTCCTGGGGGGGTTTAACACGAGGGACACCTCGGCGTCCCCGGGGGGGGTCAGCGTGATGGTCGTGCTGCGGATCACAGACACCTGGGGGGGAAAATTTGGGTTAATTTGGATTAATTTGAATTTAATTTGGATTAAATTGGGATTTATTGGGTCCTGGGGGGGATTTGGGGGGGATTTGGGGGGATTTGGGGCGTTTAATTTGGATTAATTTGGGTTTAATTTGGATTAAATTGGGATTTATTGGGGGTTTTTTGGGTCCTGGGGGGGTTTAATTTGGATTAAATTGGGATTTTTTGGGTCCTGGGGGGGATTTGGGGGGTTTAATTTGGATTAAACTGGGATTTATTGGGGATTTTTTGGGTCCTGGGGGGGATTTGGGGGGTTTAATTTGAATTAAATTGGGGTTTTTTGGGTCCTGGGGGTTTAATTTGAATTAAATTGGATTTAATTTGGATTAAATTGGGATTTATTGGGGATTTTTTGGGTCCTGGGGGGGTTTAACTCGAGGGACACCTCGGCGTCCCCGGGGGGCGTCAGCGTGATGGTCGTGCTGCGGATCACAGACACCTGGGGGGGAAATTTCAATTAATTTCAATTAATTTTGAATTAATTTGGATTTAATTTGGATTAAATTGGGATTTATTGGGGATTTTTTGGGTCCTGGGGGGTTTAATTTGGATTAAATTGGGATTTATTGGGGGTTTTTTGGGTCCTGGGGGGGTTTAATTTGAATTAAATTGGGATTTATTGGGGGTTTTGGGTCCTGGGGGGGTTTAATTTGAATTAAATTGGATTTAATTTGGATTAAATTGGGATTTATTGGGGTTTTTTGGGTCCTGGGGGATTTAATTTGGGTTAAATTGGGATTTATTGGGGTTTTTTGGGTCCTGGGGGGGTTTAACACGAGGGACACTCTCGGCCCCGAGGGGTCAGCTGTGATGGTCGTGCTGCGGATCACAGACACCTGGGGGGGGGAAAATGAGTTAATTTGGATTAATTTGAATTAATTTGAATTAATTTGGATTTAATTTGGGTTAAATTGGGATTTTTTGGGTCCTGGGGGGGCAAAAATGGGGTAATTTGAGTTAAATTTGGGATTTATTGGGTCCTGGGGGGTTTAATTTGGATTAAATTGGGATTTATTGGGGTTTTTTTGGGTCCTGGGGGGGTTTAATTTGAATTAAATTGGATTTATTTTGGATTAAATTGGGATTTATTGGGGGTTTTTTGGGTCCTGGGGGGGTTTAATTTGAATTAAATTGGGATTTATTGGGGGTTTTTGGGTCCTGGGGGGGGTTAATTTGGGTTAAATTGGGATTTATTGGGGGTTTTTGGGTCCTGGGGTTTAACACGAGGACACCTCGGCGTCCCCTGGGGTCAGCGTGATGGTCGTGCATGCGGATCACAGACACCTGGGGGCAAAATGGGGTAATTTCAATTAAATTTGAATTAAATCGGGATTTTTGGGGATTTATTTTGAATTAAATTGGGATTTTTTTGGGTCCTGGGGGATTTGGGGGTTTGGGGGATTTGGGGGGTTTGAGGGTTTAATTTGAATTTAATTGGGATTTTTTGGGTCCTGGGGGGTGGTTTGGGGGGTTTAATTTGAATTAATTTGGATTTAATTTGGATTAAATTGGGATTTATTGAGGATTTTTGGGGTCCTGGGGGGGGTTTGGGGGGTTTAATTTGAATTAATTTGGATTTAATTTGGATTAAATTAGGATTTTTTGGGTCCTGAGGGGGTTTAATTTGAATTAAATTGGGATTTTTTTGGGTCCTGGGGGGGTTAATTTGGATTAATTCGGATTTAATTTGGATTAAATTGGGATTTATTGGGGGTTTTTTGGGTCTGGGGGGGTTTAACACGAGGGACACCTCGGCGTCCCCGGGGGGCGTCAGGGTGATGGTCGTGCTGCAGATCACAGACACCTGGGGGGGATAATTTCAATTAATTTCAATTAAATTGAATTTATTTTGAATTAAATTGAGATTTTTGGGGTCCTGGGGGGGATTTGGGGGCTTTAATTTGAATTAAATTGGGATTTATTGGGGATTTTTTGGGTCCTGGGGGGGTTTAATTTGGATTAAATTGGATTTAATTTGGATTAAATTGGGATTTTTTGGGTCCTGGGGGGGATTTGGGGGGGTTAATTTGAATTAAATTGGATTTATTTTGGATTAAATTGGGATTTTTTGGGTCCTGGGGGGGATTTGGGGGGTTTAATTTGAATTAATTTGAATTTAATTCGGATTAAATTGGGATTTATTGGGGGTTTTTTGGGTCCTGGGGGGTTTAATTCGGATTAAATTGGTATTTATTGGGGTTTTTTGGGTCCTGGGGGGTTTAATTTGGATTAAATTGGTATTTATTGGGGATTTTTTGGATCCTGGGGTTTAACACGAGGGACACTTCAGTGTCCCCGGGGTCAGCGTGATGGTCGTGCGCGGATCACAGACACCTGGGGGCAAAATGGGGTAATTTCAGTTAAATTTGGGATTTTTTGGGTCCTGGGGATTTGGGGGTTTGGGGGATTTGGGGGTTAATTTGAATTAATTTGGATTTATTGGGGATTTTTTGGGTCCTGGGGGGGTTTGGGGGGGTTTAATTTGAATTAAATTGGGATTTATTGGGTCCTGGGGAGTTTAATTTGAATTAATTTGGATTAAAATTTGGATTAAATTGGGATTTATTGGGGATTTATTGGGTCCAGGGAGGGGTTTGGGTGGTTTAATTTGGATTAATTCGGATTTAATTTGGATTAAATTGGGATTTATTGGGGGTTTTTTGGGTCCTGGGGGGGTTTAACACGAGGGACACCTCGGCGTCCCCGGGGGGGGTCAGGGTGATGGTCGTGCTGCGGATCACAGACACCTGGGGGGGAGAATTTCAATTAATTTCAATTAATTTGGATTTAATTTGGGTTAAATTGGGATTTATTGGGTCCTGGGGGGGTTTAATTTGGATTAAATTGGATTTAATTTGGATTAAATTGGGATTTTTTGGGTCCTGGGGGGGATTTGGGGGGGTTAATTTGAATTAAATTGGATTTAATTTGGATTAAATTGGGATTTTTTGGGTCCTGGGGGGGATTTGGGGGGTTTAATTTGAATTAATTTGAATTTAATTCGGATTAAATTGGGATTTATTGGGGATTTTTTGGGTCCTGGGGGGGTTTAATTTGGATTAAATTGGGATTTATTGGGGATTTTTTGGGTCCTGGGGGGGTTTAATTTGGATTAAATTGGGATTTTTTGGGTCCTGGGGGGGTTTAATTTGGATTAATTTGGATTTAATTTGGATTAAATTGGGATTTATTGGGGGTTTTTTGGGTCCTGGGGGGGTTTAATTTGGATTAAATTGGGATTTATTGGGGTTTTCTGGGTCCTGTGGGGGGGAAAAGGGTTTTTTTTCGGGGTTTTTTCACCTCCCCGTTTTTGGGGTGAATCCTGGGGGTTTTGGGGCCCCACCTTGTCGGGCTGGGAGTCGTTCCTGGGGTGCTTTGGGTGCATTTTGGGGTGGTTTTGGGGGCGTTCTCAGTGGTTTTTGATCGATTTTAGGTGGAATTTTGGGGTTTTTTGATGGAATTTTGGGGTTTTTTCACCTCCCCGTTTTTGGGGTGAATTCTGGGGGTTTTGGGGCCCCACCTTGTCGGGCTGGGAATCATTTTTAGGGCAATTTAGGGGTGCTTTGGGTGGGTTTTGGGGGCGTTCTCAGTGGTTTTTGATCGATTTTTGGTGGAATTTTGGGTTTTTTTGGTGGAATTTCGGGGTTTTTTCGCCCTGAAATTTTTGGGGTGAATCCTGGGGGTTTTGGGACCCCACCTTGTCGGGCTGGGAGTCGTTCCTGGGGTGCTGGAAGGTGAGCAGGTGAAGCCCCGGGGGGACCCCCCGGCCCTGCCGGCACTGGGGCAGCTCCGTCAGGAAATCCGGCCGGGACCCCCACCAGCCGTGGGTGCCCGAAATCTGCCCCACACGGCACCCCCCCTGCTCTGGGGGGGCAAAAAACACACTCAGGACCCCCAAAAACCCCCAAAAACACCCCCAGAAACCCCCAAACCACCCCAAAAACCCCCCCAAAACCCTAACCCCCACCAGCCGTGGGTGCCCGAAATCTGCCCCCACACGGCACCCCTGCTCTGGGGGCAAAAACACACTCAGGACCCCCAAAAACCCCCAAAACACCCCTAAAAAACCCAAAAACCACCCCAAAAACCCCAAAAACACCCTCAGAAACCCCAAAAACCACCCCAAAAAAACCCCCAAAACCCCAAAAACCACCCCAGAAAACCCTAAAACCACCCCAAAAACCACCCCAAAAACACCTCAAAACCCCAAAACCACCCCAAAAAAACCCAAAAACACCCCCAGAAACCCCAAAACCACCCCAAAAACCCCCCAGAACCCACAGGGACCCCCCAGAACCCACAGAGACCCCAAACCCCCCCCAGCCGTGGGTACCCCAAATCTGCCCCACACGGCACCCCCCCTGCTCTGGGGGGGCAAAAAACACACTCAGGACCCCCAAAAACCCCAAAAACCACCCCAAAAACCCCAAACCACCCCAAAACCCCCAAGCCCCCAAAAACTCCCAGAACCCACAGAGACCCCCAAAACCCCAAAGACCACCCCAAAAACCCAAAACCACCCCAAAACCCCCAAACCACTCCCAAAACCACCCCAAAAACACCTCAAACCCCCAAAACCACCCCAAAAAACCCCAAAAACACCCCCAGAAACCCCAAAACCACCCCAAAAACCCCCCCAGAACCCACAGGGACCCCCCAGAACCCACAGGGACCCCAAACCCTCCAGCCGTGGGTACCCCAAATCTGCCCTACACGGCACCTCCTGCTCTGGGGCAAACAACACTCAGGACCCCAAAACCCCAAAACACCCCCAGAAACCCCCAAAAACCCCCAAAAACCCCAAAACCACCCCCTAAAACCCCCAGAACCCACGGGACCCCCAAACTCCCACCAGCCGTGGGTGCCCGAAATCTGCTCCCACACGGCACTCCCTGCTCTGGGGGCAAAACACACTCAGGACCCCAAACCCCAAACCACCCCAAAACCCCCAAACCCCAAAAACCCCAAAACCCCAAAACCACTCCAAAACCCCCTAAACCACCCCAAACTCCCCCTAAACCTCCCAAAGCCTCTAAAACCCCCAAAACCCAAAACCACCCAAAAACTCCCCAAAACCCCAAAAACAGCCCCTAAAACCCCCAAAAACCCCTAAACCCCCAAACCCAAACCCCAAACCCCCCCCAAACTCCCAACCCCCAGAACACCCCAAACCCCCAAAAACCCCAAACCACCCCCAAAACTCCCACAAACATCCCAAAACCCCTAAACCCCTAAACTCCCCCAAAACCCACAGGGACCCCCAAAATCCCCCCAAACCCCCCCAAAATCCCCATTTTTAACCCATTTTTCATCATTTTTTCACCGTTTTTTCACCGTTTTTTATCATTTTTTCCCCATTTTTCACCATTTTCCCCCTTTTTTCCCCCAGAACTCACCGGAGAGGGGCAGGCAGGGGGTCATTCCCCCTCAAATCCCCCTCAAATCCCCCTCAAATCCCCCCAAAATCCCCATTTTTTCCCATTTTTTCCCAATTTTTTCCCATTTTTTCACCGTTTTTTCCCATTTTTCCCATTTTTCCCCCATTTTTCCCGTTTCTCTCAGTTTTTCCCCCCAGAACTCACCGGAGAGGGGCAGGCAGGGGGTCATTCCCCACCTTTTCCCCCCCAAAATCCCCCCCAAAATCCCCCCCAAAATCCCCATTTTTTCCCATTTTTTCCCAATTTTTTCCCATTTTTTCACCGTTTTTTCCCATTTTTTCCCATTTTTCCCCCATTTTTTCCCGTTTTCCCCCGTTTTTCCCCCAGAACTCACCGGAGAGGGCAGGCAGGGGTCATTCCCCACCTTTTCCCCCAAATCCCCTCCAAACCCCCCAAAATCCCCATTTTTCACCATTTTTTCCCCTGTTTTTTCCCATTTTTTCACTTTTTTTCCCCATTTTTCCCGTTTTCCCTGTTTTTGCCTCTAGAACTCACCTGGAGAGGGCAGGCAGGGGGTCATTCCCCACCTTTTCCCCCCCAAATCCCCCCCAAAATCCCCATTTTTTCCCCGTTTTTTCCCATTTTCCCCCCATTTTTTCTCCGTTTTTTCACCGTTTTTTCCCATTTTTTCACTTTTTTTCCCATTTTTCACCATTTTCCCCCTTTTTTGCCCCAGAACTCACCAGAGAGGGGCAGGCAGGGGGTCATTCCCCCTCAAATCCCCCTCAAATCCCCCCCAAATCCCTCCCCAAAATCCCCATTTTTTCACCATTTTTTCCCCGTTTTTTCCCATTTTTTCACTTTTTTCCCCCATTTTTTCCCGTTTTCCCGTTTTTCCCCCAGAACTCACCGGAGAGGGGCAGGCAGGGGGTCATTCCCCACCTTTTCCCCCCCAAACTCCCCCCAAAATCCCCATTTTTAACCCATTTTTCCCCATTTTTTCCCATTTTTTCCCATTTTTTATCATTTTTTCCCCATTTTTCACCATTTTCCCCCGTTTTTGCCCCAGAACTCACCAGAGAGGGGCAGGCAGGGGGTCATTCCCAACCCCTCTTCCCCCTCAAATCCCCCCCAAACCCCCCCAAAATCCCCATTTTTAACCCATTTTTCATCATTTTTTCACCGTTTTTTCCCATTTTTTCACCGTTTTTTCCCATTTTTTCCCATTTTTCCCCATTTTTTCCCATTTTCCCCCGTTTTTCCCCCAGAACTCACCGGAGAGGGGCAGGCAGGGGGTCATTCCCCACCTTTTCCCCCCCAAAATCCCCATTTTTAACCCATTTTTCATCATTTTTTCACCATTTTTTCCCCGTTTTTTCCCATTTTTTTCCCATTTTTTCCCATTTTTTCCCATTTTCCCCCTTTTTTCCCCCAGAACTCACCGGAGAGGGGCAGGCAGGGGGTCATTCCCGACCTTTTCCCCCCCAAAATCCCCATTTTTAACCCATTTTTTCCCATTTTCCCCCCATTTTTTCCCCATTTTTTCCCATTTTTTCACTTTTTTCCCCATTTTTTCCCATTTTCCCCCTTTTTTACCCCAGAACTCACCGGAGAGGGGCAGGTAGGGGGTCATTCCCGACCTTTTCCCCCCCAAAATCCCCATTTTTTCTCCGTTTTTCCCCATTTTTTCTCCGTTTTTTCCCATTTTTTCACCGTTTTTTCCCATTTTTTCCCATTTTTCCCCCATTTTTTCCCGTTTTCCCCCGTTTTTGCCCCAGAACTCACCGGAGAGGGGCAGTCAGGGGGTCATTCCCGACCTTTTCCCCCCAAATCCCCCTCAAAATCCCCATTTTTAACCCATTTTTCATCATTTTTTCACCATTTTTTCACCTTTTTTTCCCATTTTTTCCCATTTTTCCCCATTTTTCACCATTTTCCCCCGTTTTTCCCCCAGAACTCACCGGAGAGGGGCAGGCAGGGGGTCATTCTGAACCCCCCTTCCCCCTTTTCCCCCTCAAATCCCCCCCAAAATCCCCATTTTTAACCCATTTTTCATCATTTTTTCCCCATTTTTTCACCGTTTTTTCCCATTTTTTCACTTTTTCCCCATTTTTTCCCATTTTCCCCCTTTTTTCCCCCAGAACTCACCGGAGAGGGGCAGGCAGGGGGTCATTCCCCACCTTTTCCCCCAAAACCCCCCATTTTTAACCCATTTTTCCCCATTTTTTCATCATTTTTTCCCATTTTTTCCCCGTTTTTTCTCATTTTTTCACCGTTTTTCCCCATTTTTTCCCATTTTCCCCATTTTTTCCCCCAGAACTCACCCGAGAGGGGCAGGCAGGTGTCGTTCTGGACGCACCAGCCCAAGGGGGTCGCGGGGGGGGTCCCGGGACCCCCCGAAAAGCCCCCGAAGGCCAAGCAGGACTCGCAGTCCCCCAAGAGCCGCCCCAGCCCGGGGCACCCCTGGGGGGGGCACTGCGGGACCCCAGACCCAAATCAGGAGGGGTTGGGGACCCCCAGAGTCAAACTGGGGGGGTTGGAAAACCCCCAGACCCAAATTGGGGGGTTGAGACCCCCAAAATCCCCCCCAAAACCTCCCAAAATCCCCCAAATCCACCCCAAAATCCCCCAAAATCCCCCCCAAAATCCCCCAAAATCTCCCCCAAATCCCGACCCAGGGGACCCCAGACCCAAATCAGGGCGGGCTGGGGACCCCCAGAGCCAAACTGGGGGGGTTGGAAAACCCCCAGACCCAAATTGGGGGGCTGAGACCCCCAAAATCCCCCAATTCCCACCCAAAATCCCCCAATTCCCACCCAAAATACCCCAAAATCCACCCCAAAATCCTCCAATTCCAACCCAAAATCCCAAAATCCACTCCAAAATCCAGACCCAGCGGGACCCCAGACCCAAATCAGGAGGGGTTGGGGACCCCCAGAGCCAAACTGGGGGGGTTGGAAAACCCCCAGACCCAAATTGGGGGGGCTCAGACCCCCAAAATCCCCCAATTTCCACCCAAAATACCCCAAATCCCCCCAAATCCCCCCAATTCCCCCCAAATTTCCCCAATTCCCCCAAATCCCCCTCAAATCCCCCCAAAATCCCCCTCAAATGCCCCCAAATGCCCCCAAATCCCCCAAATCTTCCCTAAACTCCCTCAAATCCCCCAAGCTCCCCCAATCCCCCAAATCCCCCCAAATCCCCCTCAACCCCCCAAATCCCCCCAAATCCCCCCAAATCCCCCTCAACCCCCCAAATCCCCTCAAATCCCCCAAATCCCCCCAACCCCCCCAAATCCCCTCAAACTCCCCCCAAATCCCCCCAAATTCCCCCCAAAGCCCCCCAAATCCCCTCCAACTCCCCCAAAGCCCCCCAAATCCCCCCAAATCCCCATTTTCTCCCCCCAACTCCCCCCAACTCCCCCAAATCCCCCAAATCCCCTCAAACCCCCCAAATCCCCCCAATCCCCCCAAACCCCCAAAACCCCCCAATCCCCCAAACCCCCAAATCCCCTCAAATCCCCCCCAAATCCCCCAAATCCCCAAACCCCCAAATCCCCCAAAATCCCCTCAAATCCCCCAAACCCTCAAATCCCTCCAAATCCCCCAAAGCCCCCAGCACTCACGTTGTTGTGGGGGTGGGGTCTGCAGCCCCCGGTACCACCCACATTGGGGGTCCCCAAATCCCCCAAACCCCCTGAAATCCCCTCAAATCCCCCAATCTCCCCAAATCCCCCAAATCCCCCAATCTCCCCTCAAATCTCCCTAACTCTCTCAAGACCCCCCAAATCCCCTTTAAACCCCTCTCCAACTCCCTCAAATCCCCCCAGTCCCTCCCAACCCCTCAGGACCTCCCAACTCCCTCAAATCCCCTCAAACCCCTCAAATCCCTCAAACCCTCCAAACCCCCTCAAATCCCCCAAATCCTCCTCAAATCCCCCAATCCTCCTCAAATCCCTCAAATCCCTCAAGCTCCCAAATCCCCCAAATCCCCCAAATCCCTCAAATCCCTCAATCCCTCAAATCCTCAATCTCTCAAATCCCCCAAATCCTCCCAAAGCCCCCCAGCACTCACGTTGTTGTGGGGGTGGGGATCTGGCAGCCCCCGGCACCACCCACATTGGGGGTCTCCCGTGCAGGACCCCCGGTCGGGGTACAGGGAACAATAGTCCAGGTGGTACTGGGGGACCCCAAAATGTCAGGGGGACCCCAAAATCTCGGGACCCCCAGGAGAGGTTTGGGGGAATTTGGGGGGATTTGGGGGTTTGAGGATTTGGGGGTTTGAGGGATTTGGGGGAATTGGGGTAATTTGGGGGTTGAGGGACCCCAAAATCTCAGGGGGACCCCAAATGTCAGGGGGTCCCAAATTTGGGGAACCCTGAGGAGGGGTTGGGGGGGATTTGAGGGATTTGGGGGTTTGAGGGGATTTTGGGGGTTGAGGGATTTGGGGGAATTTGGGGGATTTGGGGGATTTGGGGGATTTGGGGGTTTGGGGTTGGGGACCCCAAAACGTCACAGAGGGGACCCCAAGACCTCGGGACTCCCGGGAGGGGTTTGGGGGATTTGGGGGTTTGAGGGGGTTTGGGGGATTTGGGGGGTTTGGGGGATTTTGGGGATTTTGGGGGAATTGGGGGTTTGGGGGTTGGGGGACCCCAAAACGTCACGGGGGGACCCCAAATCTCGGGGACTCCCCAGGAGGGATCTGGGGATTTGGGGGATTTGGGGATTTTGGGGATTTGGGGGATTTGAGGGGGTTTGGGGGACCCCAAAATGTCAGGGGGACCCCAAAATCTAAGGGGGTCCCAGAATTTGGGGAACCCCTGAGGAGGGGTTTGGGGGATTTGGGGATTTGGGGGATTTGGGGGATTTGGAGGAATTGGGGGTTTGGGGGATTTTGGAGGGGTTTGGGGATTTTGGGGATTTGGGGGTTGAGGTTGGGGACCCCAAAACGTCAGGGGACCCCAAAATCTCAGGGGGTCCCAGAACTTGGGGAACTCCCAGGAGGGGTTTGGGGGTTTGGGGGATTTGGGGGTTTGGGGTTTGGGGAGGGTTGAGGGGGTTTGGGGGATTTGGGGGATTTGGGGGTTGGGGGACCCCAAAATGTCAGGGGACCCTGAAATCTCAGGGGGTCCCAGATTTGGGAACCCCAAGGAGGGGTTTGGGGGATTTGGGGATTTTGGGGGATTTAGGGGATTTCGGGGATTTGGGGGATTTTGGGGGGATTTGGGGGATTTGGGGGAATTGGGGGTTTGGGAGATTGGAGGGGACCCCAAAATCTCGGGGACTCCCAGGAGGGGATTTGGGGGATTTGGGGGATTTGAGAGGGTTTGGGGGATTTGGGGGATTTGGGGGATTTGGGGAGCTTTGAGGGGGGTTGAGGGGGATTTGGGGGCTTGGGGAGACCCCAAAACGTCAGGGGGACCCCAAAATCTCGGGGGTCCTGAATTTGGGGAACCCCCAGGAGGGGTTTGGGGGATTTGGGGAGATTTGGGGGATTTTGGGGGATTTGGGGGATTTGGGGGATTTGGGGGATTTGGGGATTTTGGGGGATTTGGGGGTTTGGGGGACCCCAAAACGTCAGGGGGACCCTAAAATCTCAGGGGGGGACCCCAAAATTTGGGGAACCCCCCAGGAAGGGGATTTGGGGGGGATTTGGGAGGGTTTGGGGGATTTTGGGGGGTGTTTTTTGGGTTATTTTTGGGGTTGATTTTGGGGCTGTTTTGGGGCTGATTTTGGGTAAGTTTTGGGGGCAGTTTTGGGGCTGATTTTTGAACATTTTTTGGGTGATTTTGGGGCAGTTTTTGGGTGATTTTGGGTGCAGTTTTGGGCTAATTTTTGAGCATTTTTGGGGTGATTTTGGGGCAGGTTTTGTGTAATTTAGGGTGATTTCTGGGGGCTGATTTTGGGGCAGTTTTTCACACAATTTTGAGCATTTTTGGGGGGCTGATTTTGGGGGCAGCTTTGGGGCTGATTTTTGATCATTTTTTTTGGTGATTTTGGGGTAGTTTTTGGGTGATTTTGGGGGCAGTTTGGGGCTGATTTTTGAGCATTTTTTGGGTGATTTTGGGGGCAGTTTTTGACATAATTTTGAGCATTTTTTGGGTGATTTTGGGGACAGTTTTTGGGCGATTTTGGGGGCAGCTTTGGGCTGATTTTTGATCATTTTTTGGCTGATTTTTGAGCATTTTTTTGGGCTGATTTTTGAGCATTTTTGGGCCGATTTTTGAGCATTTTTTGGGCGATTTTGGGGCAGTTTTGGGGTGATTTAGGGTGATTTTTGGGGGCTGATTGGTGACTCACGTTCTGGGCGGGCCCCTGGAAGATGAAGGGGGGCACTTTGTAGGCTCTCAGGTCCCCCCTGGGGGTCCCCCTGAAGTTGTTTTTTGGGGGCTACTTTTGAGGCATTTTTGGGCTACTTTTGAGAAGTTTTTGGGTTGGTTTTGGGGTCTTTTGGGTTGTTTGGAGTGATTTTTGATCAGTTTTTGGGTGATTCTGGGGGCCGTTTTTGGGGCTCATTTTGGGGTAGTGTTTGACATAATTTTGAGCAGTTTTTGGCTGATTTTTGAGCATTTTTTGGGCGATTTTGGGGGCATTTTTGGGCTGATTTTTGAGCATTTTTTGGGTGATTTTGGGGCAGTTTTTGGGTGATTTTGGGGGCAGTTTTGGGGCTGATTTTTGAGGCATTTTTTGGGTGATTTTGGGGGCCGTTTTTGGGGCTGATTTTGGGGTAATTTTTGACACAATTTTGAGCATTTTTTGGGCGATTTTGGGGGCATTTTTTGGCTGATTTTTGAGCATTTTTTGGGCGATTTGGGGGCATTTTTTGGGTGATTTTGGGGTATTTTTTGGGCGATTTTGGGGGCAGTTTTGGGTTGATTTTTGAGCATTTTTTGGGCGATTTTGGGGCAGTTTTTGGGTGATTTTGGGGCAGTTTTTGGGTGATTTTGGGGCAGTTTTGGGGTAATTTAGGGGGCTGATTGGTGACTCACGTTCTGGGCGGGCCCCTGGAAGACGAAGGGGGGCACTTTGTAGGCTCTCAGGTCCCCCCTGGGGGTCCCGCTGAACCCCCCGGCCACCACCAGGACGTTCCCGCTCAGCACCCCCGACACGTGCGAGTATCGACCCCCCCCCGGGGACCCCTCCCCACCAGGACCTGAAATTGGGGGATTTTGGGTTAATTGGGGGGTCCCAAAGCCCCCCTGAGACCCCAAAACCCCCCAAAAACCCCCCAAAACCCCTCAAAACCCCCTGAGCACCCCGACACGTGCGAGTATCGACCCCCGGGGACCCCTCCCACCAGCACCTGAAATTGGGGGCTCTGGTTCACTGGGGGTCCCAAAACCCCAAACCCCCCAAAACCCACCCTGAGCACCCCCAACATGTGTGAGTAACGACTCCCCCCCGGGGACCCCTCCCCACCAGGACCTGAAATTGGGGGGGTTTGGGGTTAATTGGGGGGTCCCAAAACCCCCTGAGACCCCAAAACCCACCCTGTGACCCCAAAACCCACCCTGAGACCCCCAAAGCCACGTGCGAGTATCGACTCCCGGGACCCCCTCCCCACCAGGACCTGAAATTTGGGGGTTTTGTTAACTGGGGGTCCCAAACCCCTGAGACCCCAAAACCCCCCAAACCCACCCTGAGACCCCCAAATTAACCCTGAGACTCCCAAATTAACCCCCAAGACCCCCAAACCCACGTGTGAGTAATCGACTCCCCCGGGGACCCCTCCCCACCAGGACCTGAAATTGGGGATTTTGGCACTTGGGGGTCCCAAAGCCCCCCAAAACCCCCCAAAACCCACCCTGAGACCCCAAATTAACCCTGAGACCCCAAAACCCACCCTGGGACCCCCAAAACCCACCCTGGGACCCCCAAATTAACCCCGAGACCCCCAAACCCAGGTGCGAGTATCGACCCCCCCCCGGGGACCCCTCCCCGCCAGCACCTGGAAATTGGGGGTTTAGGTTAACTGGGTGGTCCCAAACCCCCAAACCCCCCAAACCCCCCCAAAACCTCCCCAAAACCCCCCTGAGCACCCCGACACGTGCGAGTATCGACTCCCGGGGACCCTCCCCGCCAGGACCTGAAATTGGGGGTTTGGTTAATTGGGGTCCCAAACCCCCTGAGACCCCAAACGCCCCTGGGACCCCCAAACCCACCCTGAGACCCCCAAATTAACCCTAAGACCCCCAAATTAACCCTGAGACCCCAAATTAACCTCCGAGACCCCCAAAGCCACGTATGAGTATCGACCTCCGGGACCCCTCCCCACCAGGACCTGAAATTGGGGATTTGGGTTAATTGGGGTCCCAAAAGCCCCTGAGACCCCAAAACCCCCCAAATTAACCCCGAGACCCCCAAATTAACTCCCGAGACCCCCAAACCCACCCCTGAGACCCCAAACCCACCCTGGGACCCCCAAATTAACCCCGAGACCCCCAAACCCCGAGACCCCCAAAGTCACGTGTGAGTACCGACTCCCTGGGACCCCCTCCCGCTAGGACCTGAAATTGGGGTTTTGTTAATTGGGGTCCTAAAACCCCTGAGACCGCAAGAACCCCCTGGGACCCCCAAAACCCCCTGAGACCCCCCAAACCCCTCAGGACCCCCAACCCCCTCAAACCCCTCCAGGACCCCCTAAACCTTCCCAGGACCCCCCAAAATTCCCTAACCCCACCCAGGACCCCTCAAATTCCCTCAAACCCCCAAAACTCCCCTCAAACTCCTCCCAGGACCCCAAATCCCCTCAGGACCCCTAAACCCCCTCAGGACCCCAAAACACCCCAAACCCCACCCCAGCATCCCCAAACCCCACCCCAGGACCCCTAAACCCTCCTTGAGACCCCCAGGACCCCCAAACACCCCAGGACCCCCAAAACCCATCCAGGACCCCCAAACTCCACCTCAAATCCCCCCAAATTCCCTCCAAACCCCCAAAACTCCCCCTCAAACTCCTCCCCAGGACCCCCCAAATCCCCATCAGGACCCCCTAAACCCCCTCAGGGACCCCCAAAACACCCCCAAACCCCACCCCAGGACCCCCAAAACACCCCAGGACCCCCAAATCCCCCTAACCCCACCCAGGACCCCTCAAATTACTCTCAAATCCCCCAAAACTCCTCCCAGGACCCCTCAAACCCCCAAAACTCCCCCTCAAACTCCTCCCAGGACCCCCTAAACCCCCTCAGGACCCCCCAGATCCCCTCAGGAGACCCCAAAGCCCCCCCAAAGCCCCCCAAATCCCCCAGCTGAGGTACCTGGTGCCGGGGTGAGGGGCTGGGGTCTCACCCAGCGGTGGCAGCGCAGGTGGTAAAAGTGCAGCCCCTCCTCGTAGCACTTCTCCTCGTGGTAGTGGGTGTGCACATTGCCCCCTGACCCCCAAAATTTGGTCAGGGGGGGTCCCCAAAAAATTTGGGGGGGCTGGGACCACCCCCCGAGGGGCTGCAGCCCCAATTTGGGGGGTTTTGAGGGGGTTTTGAGGGGGTTTAGGGGGGGCTACACCTCAAATTTGGGATCTTAGCGAGTCCTTTAACATCCCCCCCAGGAAGGAATTTGGGGAGGGGGCTCAGGGGGGGTCCCCAAAACATTTGGGGTGGGACTCCCTGGAGAGGCCACAGCCCCAATTTGGGGGGATTTTGGGGGGCCTTACACCTCAAATTGGGGGTCTCAGGGGGACTCCTCGTGGTAGTGGGTGTGCACATTGCTCCCTGACCCCCAAAATTTGGTCAGGGGGGGTCCCCAAAAAATCTGGGGGGGCTGGGACCCCCCCTAGAGAGGCCACAGCCCCAATTTGGGGGGATTTTGGGGGGGTTTGAGGGGGTTTAGGGGCTACACCTCAAATTTAGGATCTTAGCGAGTCCTTTAACATCCCCCCCAGGAAGGAATTTGGGGAGGGGGCTCAGGGGGGGTCACCTCCAAAATTTGGGGGGGCTGGGACCCCCCTGGAGAGGCCACAGCCCCAATTTGGGGGGATTTTGGGAGAAAAAGGGACCCCAAATTTATTGGGGGGTGGTTTCTCAGGGGGACTCCTCGTGGTAGTGGGTGTGCACATTGCCCCCTGACCCCCAAATTTGGGGAGAAAGGGGGGTCAGGGGGGTCCCCAAAAAATTTGGGGGGGCTGAGACCACCCTAGAGAGGCCACAGCCCCAATTTGGGGGGGTTTGGGGGGGTTTTGAGGGGGTTTAGGGGTGGTTGCACCTCAAATTTGGGGGTAAAAGGAGTTCTTTAACCCATCCCTTATTGGTGGAATTTGGGGAGGGGGCTCAGGGGGGTCCCCAAGAATTTGGAGGGGCTGGGACCACCCTGGAGAGGCCACAGCCCCAATTTAGGGGATTTGGGGGGTTTGGGGAGGTTTGGGGGGACAAAAGGACCCCAAATTGAGGGCAAAGGGAGCAATTTCACCATCCCCCTCACACCCAAATTTGGGGAGGGGGCTCAGGGGGTGTCACCCCCAAAATTTGGGGGGGCTGGGACCCCCTGAGAGGCCACAGCCCCAGTTTGGGGGATTTGGGGGTTTGGGGGTTTGGGGGACAAAAGGACCTCCAAATTGAGGGCAAAGGGAGCAATTTCACCACCTCCTCACACCCAAATTTGGGGAAGGGGCTCAGGGGTCCCCAAAAATCTGGGGGTGGACCCCTGAGAGGCCACAGCCCCAATTTGGGGGTTAGAGGATTTTGAGGGGGTTTAGGGAGTTACACCTCAAATTTGGGGTAGGGGAGTCCCTAACCCTTCCCTTATTGGTGGAATTTGGGGAGGGGGCTCAGGGGGTCACCCCAAAATTTGGGGTGGGATCACTCCCCGAGGGGCTGCAGCCCCAATTTGGGGGTTTAAGGGGTTTAGGGGTTACACCTCAAATTTGGGGGCAAAAGGAGTTCTTTAACCCCTCCCTTATTGGTGGAATTTGGGGAGGGGGCTCGGGGGTCCCTGAAAATTTAGGGGGCTGGGACCACCCTGGAGAGGCCACAGCCCCAATTTGGGGGATTTGGGGGTTTTGGGGGTTTGGGGGACAAAAGGACCCCAAATTGGGGCCAAAAGGAGCAATTTCACCACCCTCTCGCACCCAAATTTGGGGAGGGGGTTCAGGAGGGTTTTGGGGTCCCTATGAATTTGGGGGTTTCAGGGGATTTTGGGGGTCCTTGGGGTTCAGGGGATTTGGGGGGTCTGTAGGATTTGGGGGTCTCCCCATAGACCACCCTGTATTCCCCAAATGAGGGGGCACTGTGGAAGGCCCGGGGGTCCCTGGGGGTTTTGGGGTCCCTGTTTGTCCCTATGGGGTTGGGGGTTTCAGGGATTTTGGGGGTCCCTGGGGGTTCAGGGATTTGGGGATTTTGGGGGTCTCACCATAGACCACCATGTAGTCTCCAATGAGGCTGGCACTGTGGAAGGCCCGGGGGTCCCTGGGGGTTTTGGGGGTCTCTGGGGTTTCAGGGATTTTGGGGGTCCCTGGGGGTTCAGGGGTCTGTAGGATTTGGGGGTCTCTCCATAGACCCCCTGTATTCCCCTGATGAGGGGGCACTGTGGAAGGCCCGGGGGTCCCTGGGGGTCTTTGGGGGTCTCTGGGGTTTCAGGGATTTTGGGGTTTCAGGGATTTTGGGGGTTCAGGGGTCTGTAGGATTTGGGGGTCTCAGGGGTCTCACCATAGACCACCATGTAGTCCCCGATGAGGCTGGCACTGTGGAAGGCCCGGGGGTTTGGGGGTCCCTATAAATTTGGGGTTTCAGGGATTTTGGGGGTCCCTGGGGGTTCTAGGGATTTGGGGGTCTGTAGGATTTGGGGTCTCACCATAGACCCCCTGTATTCCCCGATGAGGGGGCACTGTGGAAGGCCCGGGGGTCCCTGGGGGTTTTGGGGTCTCTGGGGTTTCAGGGATTTTGGGGGATTTGGGGGTCTGTGGGATTTGGGGGTCTGTAGGATTTGGGGGTCTCCCCATAGACCCCCTGTATTCCCCGATGAGGGGGGCACTGTGAAAGGCCCGGGGGGGGCTTTGGGGGTCCCTGTTTGTCCCTATGGGATTTGGGGTTCCCTATGGGGTTGGGGGTCCCTGGGGGTTCAGGGGATTTGGGGGTCTCAGGGGTCTCCCCATAGACCCCCTGTATCCCCTGATGAGGCTGGCACTGTGGAAGGCCCGGGGGTTTTGGGGTCTCTGGGGTTTCAGGGATTTTGGGGGTTCAGGGATTCTGGGGGATTTTAGAGGGTCTGTAGGATTTGGGGGTCTCCCATAGACCCCCTGTATTTCCCGATGAGGGGGCACTGTGAAAGGCCCGGGGGTTTGGGGGTCCCTGTGGGATTTTGGGGTTCCCTGTGGGTTGGGGGTCCCTGGGGGTTCAGGGGATTTGGGGGTCTCAGGGGTCTCCCCATAGACCCCCCTGTATTCCCCGATGAGGGGGCACTGTGGAAGGCCCGGGGGCTTTGGGGTCCCTGTTTGTCCCTATGGGATTTGGGGATCCCTGTGGGATTGAGGGTTTTGGGGGTTCTAGGGATTTAGGGGTCTGTAGGATTTGGGGGTCTCAGGGGTCTCTCATAGACCCCCTGTACTCCCCGATGAGGGGGCACTGTGAAAGGCCCGGGGGTTTGGGGGTTTTGGGGTCTCTGGGGTTTCAGGGATTTTGGGGGTCCCTGGGGGTTCAGGGATTTGGGGGGTCTGTAGGATTTGGGGGTCTCACCATAGACCCCCTGTAGTCCCCCAATGAGGCTGGCACTGTGAAAGGCCCGGGGGTCCTTGGGGGTTTTGGGGTCTCTGGGGTTTCAGGGATTTTGGGGGTTCAGGGAATTTGGGGGTTTTAGGGGGTCTGTAGGATTTGGGGGTCTCCCCATAGACCCCCTGTATTCCCCGATGAGGGGGCACTGTGAAAGGCCCGGGGGTCCCTGGGGTTTTGGGGTCCCTATGGGTTTGGGGTTTCAGGGGATTTTTGGAGGGTTCAGGGGATTTTAGGGGTCTGTAGGATTTGGGGGTCTCAGGGGTCTCACCATAGACCACCATGTAGTCCCCGATGAGGGGGCGCTGTGGAAGGCCCGGGGCTTTGGGGTCCCTATGGGATTTGGGGGTTTCAGGGATTTTGGGGGGTTCAGGGGGTCTGTAGGATTTGGGGTCTCACCATAGACCACCATGTATTCCCTGATGAGGCTGGCACTGTGAAAGGCCCGGGGCTTGGGGGTCCCTATGGGGTTTGGGGGTCCCTGGGGGTTTTAGGGGTTCAGGAAGGTTTTGGGGGTCTGTAGGATTTGGGGTCTCACCATAGACCACCATGTAGTCTCCAATGAGGCTGGCACTGTGAAAGGCCTGGGGGTCCCTGGGGGTTTGGGGTCCCTATGGGGTTTGGGGTTTCAGGGATTTTGGGGGGTTTTAGGGGTCTGTAGGATTTGGGGGGTCTGTAGGATTTGGGGGTCTCACCATAGACCACCATGTAGTCCCCAATGAGGCTGGCACTGTGGAAGGCCCTTCCCGGGGTCCCTGGGCCCTCTGTCCCCCCGGCCCTCAGGGGGCTCCAGTGGTGCCGATCCACGTGGAAAGCGTCGGTCGAGTTCACCCGGACACTGAATCCTGCAAGGGGGCCTCTGAGACCACCCAGAGACCCCCAAAACATCCCCAAACCCCCTAGAGACCCCTACAGATCCCCAAAAAACTACAGACCCCAGGACCTCCCAAAACCCCCCAAAACTCCCCCCAGACCCTGCCCAGGTCGGTGGAGTTCACCCGACACTGAATCTCGCACTGGGGCCTCTGAGACCACCCAGAGACCCCCAAAATACCCACAGACCCCCACAGATCCCAAAAAATTACAGACCCCAGGACCCCCAAAACCCCCCAAAACCCCAGACCCTGCCCAGGTCGGTGGAGTTCTACACGGACACTGAACCTGCGAAAAGGGGCTCTGAGACTCACCAGAGACCCCCAAAACACCCACAGACCCCCAGAGACCCCCACGGATCCCCCAAAATACCCAGAGCTCACAGAGACCCCCCAGGACCCCCCCAGACCCCCAGACCCTGCCCAGGTCGGTGGAGTTCACACGGACACTGAACCTGCAATTGGGGGCTCTGAGACCACCCAGAGACCCCCAAAACATCCCCAGACCCCCAGAGACCCCTCAAAATACCCAGAGCTCACAGAGACCTCCCAGGACCCCCAAAACCCCCTAGAACCCCCAGACCCAGCCCAGGTCGGTGGAGAACACACCGGACACTGAACCTGAAATTGGGGGCTCTGAGACCACCCAGAGACCCCCAAAACATCCCCAGACCCCCCAAAACATCTACAGACCCCTCTGGATCCTCAGAGTTCAAAGAGACCCCCAGGACCCCCAAACCCCCCCAGACCCCCCAGACCCCGCCCAGGTCGGTGGAGTTCACCCGGACACTGAACCTGAAATTGGGGGCCCTGAGACTCACCCAGAGACCCCCAAATACCCAGAGACCCCCAGAGACCCCCACGGATCCCCCAAAAACCTACAGACCCCCAGGACCCCCAAACCCCCCAGACCCCGCCCAGGTCGGTGGAGTTCACCCAGACACTGAACCTGCAATTGGGGGCTCTGAGACCACCCAGAGACCCCCCAAAATACCCACAGACCCTCAGAGACCCCCACGGATCCCCCAAAATACCCAGAGCTCACAGAGACCCCCAGGACCCCCCAAAACCCCCCAAAACCCCCAGACCCTGCCCAGGTCGGTGGAGTTCACCCGGACACTGAACCTGAAATTGGGGGCTCTGAGACCACCCAGAGACCCCCAAAACACCCCCAGACCCCCAGAGACCCCCACAGATCCCCCCAAAAATTACAGACCCCAGGACCTCCCAAAACCCCCAGACCCCCCAGACCCTGCCCAGGTCGGTGGAGTTCACCCGACACTGAACCTGAAATTGGGGGGCTCTGAGACCACCCAGAGACCCCCCAAAATACCCACAGACCCCCAAAACACCCCCAGACCCCCCAAAACACCCCCAGACCCGCCCCAGGTCGGTGGAGTTCACCCCGACACTGAACCTGCAATTGGGGGCTCTGAGACCACCAGAGACCCCCAAATACCCACAGACCCCCAGAGACCCCCTAAAATACCCAGAGCTCACAGAGACCCCCCAGGACCCCCCCAGACCCCCCAGACCCCGCCCAGGTCGGTGGAGTTCACCGGACACTGAACCTGGAATTGGGGGCTCTGAGACCACCCAGAGACCCCCCAAAATACCCCCAGACCCCCAAAACCCCCAGACCCCCCAAATCCCCCAAATCCCCTCCAACCTCCCCAAATCCCCCAAACCTATTCAGGACCCCCAAACCTCCCCAAACCCCCACACGTTCCCATAACTCCCCCCAAAACCTCTTCAGGACCCCTCAAATCCCCCCAAATCCCCTCAAATCCCTCCCAAACTCCCATAACTCCCCAAAATCCTCCTCAAATCCCCCAAATCCCCTCAAATCCCCCCATAACCCCCAAACCCCCTCAAACCCCCCATAACCCCCCAAGTCCCCTCAAATCCCCCCCTAAATCCCCCCAAATTCCCCCAACCCCCCCAAATCCCCCAAACCCCCCAAATCCCCTCAAACCCTCTCAGCTCCCTCCAACCCCCAAACCCCCCAAGCCCCCCAAACCCCCCCAATCCCCCTACCTGGCAGTTGAGGGCCGGTGCCCCCAGTAGACCAGCAGGGTCCGGGAGGGGTGGAACACCCCCATAACCCCCAAATCCCTTTAAACCCCCCCAACCCCCCAAATCCCCCCAAATCCCCTCCAAACCCCCCCAAATCCCCTTTAAACCCCCCAAATCCCCCAAACCCCCCAAATGCCCTTTAAACCCCGAAATCCCCCATAAACCCCCAAAATCCCCCATGAACCCCCAAATCCCCCCATAACCCCTCAAATCCCTCTGAAATCCCCTAACTCCTCCCAAATCCCCCCAAACCTCCCCCAAATCTTCCTCAACGCCCCCAAATCCCCTTTAAACCCTCCCAAACCCCCAAATCCCCTTTAAACCCCCTAAATCCCCCAAACCTCCCCAAATCTGCCCAATTCCCCCATATCCCCTCCAAATCCCCCAAATCCCTCCCAAATCCCCTTTAAACCCCCAAATCCCCCCAAATCCCCTTTAAACCCCCCAAATCCCTTTAAACCCTCCAAACTCCCCAAATCCCCTTTAAACCCCCCAAACCCCCCAAACCCCCCAAACCCCCTTACCTGGCAGTTGAGGGCCGGTGCCCCGTAGACCAGCAGGGTCCGGGAGGGGGTGGAAGATCATGGAGTGCCTGGCAGCCTGGGGGTTTCCCCAAACCTCCACCCTCTCCCACAGGGAGACCCCTCCCAGAAACCCCCGGACCCCCGGGCCGGGACAGCGGAACCGGAACAGCTCCGAGGAGAAGACGTCGTCAGAGCGGCGACCTGGGGGAAATCCCAAATTTAGGGACCCCAGAGACCCCCAATCATCAGAGACCCCAGAGACCACCCCCAATCATCACAGCCCCCAGAGACCCCTGAGCATCAGAGACCCCCCAGACCCCCCCAGCTCTGAGGAGAAGACGCCGTCAGAGCGGCGCCCTGGGGGATTCCAAATTTAGGGACCCCTAGAGACCCCCCAAATCATCACAGACCCCAGAGACCCCCCAATCATCACAGACCCCCAGAGACCCCCCAGAGCCTCCCAGAGCATCAGAGACCCCCCCAGCTCCGAGGAGAAGACGCCGTCAGAGCGGCGCCCTGGGGGGGGAAATCCCAAATTAGGGACCCCCAGAGACCCCCAAAAACCTCTCAGATCATCAGAGACCCCCAGAGACCCCCTGGATCACCCAAATCATCCCAGACCCCCCCAGAGCATCAGAGACCCCCCCAGCTCCGAGGAGAAGACGTCGTCAGAGCGGCGCCCTGGGGGGGGAAATCTCCAATTTAGGGACCCCCTGGGACCCCCCCAATCATCAGAGACCCCCCCCAATCATCACAGACCCCCAGAGACCACCCAGGACCCCCCAGACCCCCCCCAGCTCCGAGGAGAAGACGTCGTCAGAGCGGCGCCCTGGGGGGGGAACCCCAATTTAGGGACCCCCTGAGACCCCCCAGGATGCCCAAAACCTCCAGAGACCCCCCCAGAGCATCAGGGAACACCCAGGACCCCCCAAAACATCACAGACCCTCCCAAAACCTCCCAACGCCCCCAAAATCCCCCCAAACCTCCGAAGATGTAGAGCCAGTCCCTGACCGCGCTGCCTTCGAGACCCCCAAAACCCCCAAACCCCCCCAAAATCCCCTAAATCCCCCAAATCTGAACCCCTCAAATTCCCTGACCCCCAAATCCCAGACCCCCAAGCCCCCAAAATCCCCAAAATCCTCCAAAATCCCCCAAACCTCCGAAGATGTAGAGCCAGTCCCCGACCGCACCGCCTCGAGCCCCTCAAAACCCCAAAAACCCCAAAAACCCCAAAACCCCCAAATCAGAATCCCCAAATTCCTCCAACCCCCCAAATTCCTCCAACCCCACGACCACCCAAGCCCCCAAGCCCTCAAACCCCCAAAATCCCCCAAACCTCCGAAGATGTAGAGCCAGTCCCTGACCGGTGCCGCCTTGAGCCCCCAAAACCCCAAAAACCCCCAAACCCCCAAAATCCCCCAAATCGGAACCCCTCAAACCCCCAAATTCCACGAGCCCCCAACCTCCTACGACCACTCAAGCCCCCAAACCCCCAAACCCCCAAAATCCCCCAAACCTCCGAAGACGTAGAGCCAGTCCCCGACCAGGGCAGCGGCGTGGGCTGCGAGCCCCGGGGGTTCCCTTTGGGGGGTCTCTGGCCCTTCCCCCGAGGGGTGCAGCTCCTCCAGCCCCCCGTGGGGTCGTAGCCCCACAGGTCGTTGGTAGAGGGCCCCCGGGCAGCTCCCCGAAGACCACTAGGGTGTCCCCCAGGCCACGGCAGAGTGCGAGTGACGGGGGGCCTGGGGGAAATTTGGAAGTTAATTAAAAATTAGGGGTTAGGGAAATTAAAATTGGGGGGTTATGGAGGGTTTGAGGAGATTTGGGTGGATTTGAGGGGTTTGAGGGGTTTGGGAGGTTAGAGGGATTTGGGGGTTATTGGGGAGTGACGGGGGGCCTGGGGAAAATTTGGAAAGTAATTAAAATTGGGGGATTAAATTGGGGGGTCATGGGAGGGTCTGGGGATTTGGGTGGATTTGAGGGGTTTGAGGGGTTTGGGGGTTAGGGAGATTTGGGGGTTATTGGGGTGACGGGGCCTGGGGGAAAATTGGGGGTTAATTAAAAATTGGGGGGTTTGAGGGGATTTGGGGGAATTAAAATTGGGGGATTAAAATTGGGGGTTATGGGGCTTTGAGGGAATTTAGGGAGATTTGGGGGTTATGAGGGTTTGAGGGGGTTTGAGGGGATTTGGGGGGACATCAAAGATTGGGGGGTTATGAGAGGGTTATGAGGGGATTTGGGGGGTTTTGGGGGATTTTGGGGGATTTGGGAAGGTTTGAAGGGATTTGGGGGATTTTAGGAGGGATTTTAGGGGATTTTGAGGTGATTTTGGGGTGATTTTGGGGGTGATTTTGGGGGTTTTGGGGAGTCTTCACCGGGCTGGGGGTCCCCAGGATGCGGCTCCAGCGGTTGGTGCTGAAGTTGGGGGTGGCTTTAGGGGGTTTGGGGAGGATTTGGGGGTCTCAGAGGGTTGGGGGTCTCAGGGTGATTTTGGAGGTGATTTTGGGGTGATTTTGGGGGTTTGGGGGTCTCTCACCGGGCTGGGGGTGCCTAAGATGCGGCTCCAGCGGTTGGGGCTGAAGTTGGGGGTGGTTTTAGGGGGTTTGGGGAGGATTTGGGGTCTCAGAGGGTTGGGGGTCTCAGGGGATTTGGGGTGATTTTGGGAGTGATTTTGGGGGTTTTGGGGGATTTGAGGGTGATTTTGGGGGTTTGGGGGTTGATTTTGGGGGATTTGGGGGTATTTTAGGGGGTTTTGGGGTGATTTTGGGGGATTTGGGGGATTTTAGGGGATTTGGGGGATTTTGGGGGGTTTTGGGGGTGATTTTAGGGTTGATTTTGGGGTGATTTTGGGGATTGATTTTGGGGGATTTGAGTTGATTTTGGGGAGTGATTTGGGGGTGATTTTGGGGTGATTTGGGGTGATTTTGAGGTGATTTTGAGGGGTGATTTTGGGGTGATTTTAGGGTGATTTTGGAGTAGATTTTAGGGTGATTTTGAGAGTGATTTTGGGTGATTTTGAGGTGATTTTGAGGTGATTTTGGGGGTGATTTGGGGGATTTGGGGTGATTTTGGGGGGTTTTGGGGGTCTCTCACCGGGCTGGGGTCCCCAAGATGCGGCTCCAGCGGTTGGTGCTGAAGTTGGGGGTGGTTTTAGGGGGATTTGGGGAGGATTTGGGGGTCTCAGAGGGTTGGGGGTCTCAGGGGTGATTTGGGGGTGATTTTGGGGTGATTTTGGGGGTTTTGGGGGTCTCTCACCGGGCTGGGGGTCCCCAAGATGCGGCTCCAGCGGTTGGTGCTGAAGTTGTAGACCACGAGGTCTCCCAGGGCCTGGTTCAGGTCCAGCCCTAAAGGGGCAAAAGGGTCCAAGACCCCCTGAGACCCCCTGAGACCCCCCAAACCCCCTGAGACCCCAGACCCCCAGACCCAGCAGAGACCTCCAAATCCCCCAGAGACCCTCAAATCCCCCAGAGACCCCCCAAACCCCCAAAGATCTTCCCAGGGCCTGGTTCAGGTCCAGCCCAAAAAGGAGGAGCAAAAAAGGGTCAAAGACCCCCAGAGACCCCCTGAGACCCCCAAATCCCCTGAGACCCCAGACCCCAGACCCAGCAGAGACCCCCAAATCCCCAGAGACCCCCAAATCCCCTCAAATCCCCCAAATCCCCCTAAACCCTTCAATTCCCCCAAACCCCTCAAATCCCCCAGGACCCAAAATCCCCAATAAATCCCAATTTAATCCAAATTAAACCCCCAAATCCCCCAAATCCCCCCCAAACTCCTCCAAATCCCCCAACCCCCCAGGACCCAAAAACCCCAATAAATCCCAATTTAATCCAAATTGAACCCCCAAGACCCCCCAGGACCCAAAATCCCCAATAAATCCCAATTTAATCCAAATTAAACCCCCAAACCCCTCCAGGACCCAATAAACCCCAATTTAATCCAAATTAAACCTCCCAGGACCCAATAAACCCCCAATAAACCCCAATTTGACCCAAATGAAGCCTCCAGACTCACCCCCAAAGACGTAGAGGGCCCCTATGCCGGGCAGGACCGGCGCCCAAATCCCCCCCAAATCCCCCAAACCCCCCAAATCCCCCAACCCCCAGGACCCAATAAATCCCAATTTAATCCAAATTAAATCCAAATTAATTCAAATTAAACCCCCAGGACCCAAAAAATCCCCAATAAATCCCAATTTAATCCAAATTAAACCCCCAGGACCCAAAACCCCAATAAATCCCAATTTAATTCAAATTAAATCCAAATTAGTTCAAATTAAACCCCCCAACCGCCCCCAGGACCCAATAAATCCCAATTTAATCCAAATTGAACCCCCAAGACCCCCCCCAGGACCCAAAAAATCCCCAATAAACCCCAATTTAACCCAAATGAAGCCCCCAGACTCACCCCCAAAGACGTAGAGGGCCCCCATGCCGGGCAGGACGGCGCCCACAAGTCCCCCAAATCCCCCCAAACCCCCCAAATCCCCCAACCCCTCCCCAGGACCCAAAAATCCCAATTTAACCCAAATTAAACCCAATTTAACCCAAATGAAGCCCCAGACTCACCCCCAAAGACGTAGAGGGCCCCGTGCCGGGCAGGACCGGCGCCCCAAATCCCCCTAAATCCCCCAAACCTCCCAAATCCCCCAACCCCCCCAGGACCCAATAAATCCCAATCTAATCCAAATTAAATCCAAATTAATTCAAATTAAACTCCACACGACCCAAAAATCCCCAATAAACCCCAATTTAATCCAAATTAAACCCCCCAAATCCCTCCCAAACTCCCCAAACTCCCCCAGGACCCAAAATCCCCAATAAATCCCAATTTAATCCAAATTAAACCCCCAGGACCCAAAATCCCTAATAAATCCCAATTTAATCCAAATTAACCCCAATTTAACCCAAATTAAGCCCCGAAGCCCCCAGACTCACCCCCAAAGACGTAGAGCCCCGTGCCAGTGCAGACGGTGCCCCAAATCCCCTCAAATCCCCCCAAACTCCCAAATCCCCCAACCCCCAGGACCCAATAAATCCCAATTTAATCCAAATTAAATCCAAATTAATTCAAATTAAACCCCCAGGAGCCAAAATCCCCAATAAATCCCAATTTAATCTCAAATTAAACTCCCAGGACCCAAAATCCCCAATAAATCCCAATTTAATTCAAATTAAACCCCCAGGACCCAAAATCCCCAATAAATCCCAATTTAATTCAAATTAAACCCCCAGGACCCAATAAATCCCAATTTAACCCAAATTAACCCCCAAAGCCCCCAGACTCACCCCCAAAGACGTAGAGGCCCCCATGCCGGTCAGGACGGTGCCCCAAATCCCCCTCAAATCCCCCAAATCCACCCCAAACCCCTCAAACCCTCCCCAAATTCCCCCAGGACCCAAAATCCCCAATAAATCCCAATTTAATCCAAATTAAATCCAAGTTAATCCAAATTAATCCCCAAACCACCCCCAGGACCCAAAAATCCCCAATAAATCCCAATTTAATCCAAATTAAATTCAAGTTAATCCAAATTAACCCCCAAACCACCCCAGGACCCAAAAATCCCAATAAATCCCAATTTAATCCAAATTTAATCCAAATTAATTCAAATTAAACCCCCAATCGCCCCAAATCCCCAAACCCCCCAGGACCCAAAAATCCCCAATAAATCCCAATTTAATCCAAATTAAATCCAAATTGATTCAAATTAAACCCCCCAGGACCCAAAAAATCCCCAATAAATCCCAATTTAATCCAAATTAAACTCCCAGGACCCAAAAATCCCTAATAAATCCCAATTTAATTCAAATTAAATCCAATTTAATTCAAATTAACCCCCAATCCGCCCACCCAGGACCCAATAAATCCCAATTTGACCCAAATTAAACCCCCCAAATCCCCCCCCAGGACCCAAAAAATCCCCAAAAACCCCAATTTAACCCAAATTAAGCCCCCAGACTCACTTCCCAAAGACGAGAGGCTCCCATGCCGGCAGGACGGCGCCCCAAATCCCCCCCAAATCCCCAAACCCCCAAACCCCTCAAACCCTCCCTAGGACCCAAAAATCCCAAAAATCCCAATTTAATCCAAATTAAACCCCCAAACCCCCCAAACCCTCAGGACCCAAAATCCCCAATAAATCCCAATTTAATCCAAATTAAATTCAAGCTAATCCAAATTAACCTCCCAAATTGTCCCCCAAATCCCCCCAGACCCCAGGACCCAAAAATCCCCAATAAATCCCAATTTAATTCAAATTAAACCCCAGGACCCAATAAACCCCCACAAATCCCAATTTAATCCAAATTAAAGCCCCCAGGACCCAAAAATCCCCAATAAATCCCAATTTGATCCAAATTAAACCCCCAGACCCCCCAGGACCCAATAAACCCCAATTTAATCCAAATTAAACCCCCCAGGACCCAATAAACCCCAATTTAATTCAAATTAAACCCCCCCAGGACCCAAAAAATCCCCAATAAATCCCAATTTAATCCAAATTAAATTCAAGTTAATCCAAATTAACCCCCCAAATTAGCTCCCCAAATCCCCCCAGACTCCCCCCAGGACCCAAAAATCCCCAATAAATCCCAATTTAATTCAAATTAAACCCCCAGGACCCAATAAACCCCAATAAATCCCAATTTAATCCAAATTAAAGCCCCTCAGGACCCAAAAATCCCCAATAAATCCCAATTTGATCCAAATTAAACCCCCCAGACCCCCCTAGGACCCAATAAACCCCAATTTAATCCAAATTAAACCCCCAGGACCCAATAAACCCCAATTTAATTCAAATTAAACCCCCCCAGGACCCAAAAAATCCCCAATAAATCCCAATTTAATCCAAATTGAATCCAAATTAATTCAAATTAAACCCCCCAGGACCCAAAAAATCCCCAATAAACCCCAATTTAACCCAAATTAAGCCCCCAAAGCCCCCCAGACTCACCCCCAAAGACGTAGAGGGCCCCCATGCCGGGCAGGACGGCGCCCCCAAATCGCCCTCAAATCCCCTCAAACCCCCCCCAACCCCCCCAGGACCCAATAAATCCCAATTTAATCCGAATCAAATTCAAATTAAATCCCCCAAACCCCTCCCAGGACCCAAAAAATCCCAATTTAATCCAAATCAAATCCCCCAAATCCCCCAGGACCCAATAAATCCTAATTTAATTCAAATTAAACCCCCAGGACCCAATAAATCCCAATTTAACCCAAATTAAACCCCCAGGACCCAAAAATCCTCCAATAAATCCTAATTTAACCTAAATAAACCCTCCAAAGCCCCCCAGACTCACCCCCAAAGACGTAGAGGGCCCCCATCCCGGGCAGGACGGCGCCGGCGGCCGCGGCTCGGGGGCTGAACTGGGGGTCCCGGTCGCTCACGTTGTACCAGAGACCCCCCCCCAGGTTGTCCCCCAGGGCCAGGTCGCAGGAGGACCCCAAAAATCCCGGCTGGCACTCGCAGACCCCCGACTCCTGAGGGGCACAGACCCCCGAAATGGGGTCAGGACTCATTTCTGGGGGGGTTTTGGGGTCTTTTGGGGGTCCCCCAGACTCCTCTCGGGGGGTTTTGGGGTCCCCCCAGTGGGTCTGGGGGTCCCTCAATTCCAGCCTTGGGGGTTTTGGGGTCTCTCAGTGGGTCTGGGGGTCCCTCAGATCCCTCTCTGGGGGGTTTTGGGGTCTCCCAGTGGGTCTGGGGGTCCCTCAGATCCACCATGGGGGGGTTTTGGGGGTCCCCCAATGGGTTTGGGGTCTCCCAGTGGGTCTGGGGGTCCCTCAGATCCAGCCCTGGGGGGTTTTGGGGTCTCCCAGTGGGTCTGGGGGTCCCTCAGACCCAGCTCTGGGGGGTTTTGGGGTCTCCCAGTGGGTCTGGGGGTCCCTCAGATCCAGCCCTGCAAGTTTGGGGGTCTCCCAGACTCATTTCTGAGGGGTTTTGGGGTCTCCCAGTGGGTCTGGGGGTCCCTCAGATCCAGCATGGGGGGTTTTGGGGTCTCCCAGACTCATTTCGGGGGGGTTTTGGGGTCTCCCAGTGGGTTTGGGGGTCCCTCAGATCCCTCTCTGAGGGGTTTTGGGGTCTCCCAGTGGGTCTGGGGGTCCCTCAGATCCCTCTCTGAGGGGTTTTGGGGTCTCCCAGTGGGTCTGGGGGTCCCTCAGGTCCAGCCTTGGGGGTTTTGGGGGTCCCCCAATGGGTTTGGGGTCTCCCAGTGGGTCTGGGGGTCCCTCAGATCCCTCTCTGGGGGGTTTTGGGGGTCCCCCAGTGGGTTTGGGGTCTCCCAGTGGGTCTGGGGGTCCCTCAATTCCAGCTCGGGGGGGTTTTGGGGTCTCCCAGTGGGTCTGGGGGTCCCTCAGATCCACCATGGGGGGGTTTTGGGGGTCCCCCAATGGGTTTGGGGTCCCCCAGTGGGTCTGGGGGTCCCTCAGATCCAGCTCTGGGGGGTTTTGGGGGGTCTCCCAGTGGGTTTTGGGGTCCCCCCCAGGGCCAGGTCGCAGGAGGACCCCAAAAAACCCGGCTGGCACTCGGAGACCCCCGACTCCTGAGGGGGGGAGGGGGCACAGACCCTCGAAATGGGGTCAGGGGGGCTCAGGGACTCAGATTTGGGGGGCTTGGGGTCCCACATCCACAGTTTTGGGTCCCCCCTCCCCATATCCCCCATTTTGGGGGTGTCCCCTCCCCATATCCCCAATTTTGGGGGTCTCCCCTCCCCATATCCCCAATTTTGGGGGTCTCCCCTCCCCATCTCTCTTATTTTTGGGGGTCTCCTCTCCCCATATCTCTACTTTTGGGGGTCTCTAGGTTATTTGGGGAGGGGTCTCACCTGGTTGCAGGTGCCCCCGGGGGCCCTGCAGTGGTCCTGGCAGTGCCCACCCCCCAATTTCAGATCCCCCCACCCCATTTTTTGGGGATCTCTGGGTTATTTTGGGTGCCCCTGGGTTATTTTGGGGGTCTCTGTGTTATTTTGGGGGGGGGTCTCACCTGGTTGCAGGTGCCCCCGGGGGCCCTGCAGTGGTCCTGGCAGTGCCCACCCCCCAATTTCAGATCCCCCCACCCCATTTTTTGGGGATCTCTGGGTTATTTTGGGTGCCCCTGGGTTATTCTGGGTGCCCCTGGGTTATTTTTGGGGGTCTCTGGGTTATTTTTAGGGCTCTCTGGGTTATTTTCCGGGGTCTCTGTGTTATTTTGGGGGGGGTCTCACCTGGTTGCAGGTGCCCCCGGGGGCCCTGCAGTGGTCCTGGCAGTGCCCACCCCCCAATTTCGGGGGTCTCTGGATCATTTTCGGGGGTCTCTGGGTCATTTTTAGGGGTCTCTGGGTTATTTTTAGGGCTCTCTGGGTTATTTTGGGGGTCTCTGGGTTATTTTGGGGAGGGGTCTCACCTGGTTGCAGGTGCCCCCGGGGGCCCTGCAGTGGTCCTGGCAGTGCCCACCCCCCAATTTCAGATCCCCCCACCCCATTTTTTGGGGGTCTCTGGGTTATTTTGGGTGCCCCTGGGTTATTCTGGGTGCCCCTAGGTTATTTGGGGGGGGGTCTCACCTGGCTGCAGAAGTGCCTGAGGGCCCTGCAGTGCTCCTGGCAGTGCCCACCCCCCAATTTCAGATCCCCCCACCCCATTTTTTGGGGTCTCTGGGTTATTTTTGAGGATCTCTGGGTTATTTTGGGTGCCCCTGGGTTATTTTCGGGGATCTCTGGGTCATTTTTAGGGGTCTCTGTGTTATTTGGGGAGGGGTCTCACCTGGTTGCAGGTGCCCCCGGGGGCCCTGCAGTGGTCCTGGCAGCGGGGGTGGGCGCAGGAGGGTCCCCCCCAGCCCGGGGGGCACCGGCAGAGGCCCTGGGGGTCGCAGAGCCCCCTCCCCGAGCAGCCCCCCGGGCACAGCGAGGCCTCCCAGCTGGCGTTGAAGCCCAGCAGGTTGTAGTTGGCGTCGCTGAACAGGTGCAGCAGCATCTTTTTTGGGGAAAAAAGGGAAAAAAAGGGGATTTTGGGACTCTCAGGAATCACCACGGGCAACCCCCAAATCCATGAACACCCCAGACCCCCAAAGACCCCCAAAGACCCCCAAAAACCTCCGAAGATGGAGAGACAGCGCCCGACCGGCACTGCCCTCGAGTCCCCCAAAACCCCCAAACACCCCCAAAATCCCCAATACCCCCCCAAAACCCCCCCAAATTGGAACCCCAAATTCCCTGACCCCCCAGCCCTCCAGACCACCCCAAATCCCCCCAAATCCCCCCAAATCCCCCAACCTCCCAAAGGACCCCAAAACTCCGAAGATGGAGAGACAGCGCCCGACCGGCGCCACCTCGAAGTCCCCCAAACCCAGCAAATCCCCCAAAATCCCCCAAACCCCCCACAAGTTGGAGCCCCCAAATTCCCCTGACCCCCAACCCTCCCAGACCACCCCAAATCCCTCCAATCCCTCCCAACCTCCCCAAATGCCCCCAAAAACCTCCGAAGATGGAGAGACAGCCCTGACCGGCACCACCTCGAGTCCCCCAAACCCCCCAAAACCCCCCCAAAATTGAACCCCCAAATTCCTCTCGACCCCCCAGCCCTCCAGACCACCCCAAATCCTCCAATCCTCCTCAAACCTCCCCAAATCCCACCCAAACCGCGCCAACCACCCCCAAACCTCCCAATCCCTCCCCAACCTCCCCTAACCCCACTCAACGCCCCTAAATTCCCCCAAACCCCCCAAATCCCCAACCCCAAATCCCTCCAAATCCCCCTCTCACCCTCAATACCCCCAAATCCCTCCAACTCCCCCAAATCCCCCAAATCCCCCATAACCCCCAAATCCCCCAATGCCCCCAAATCCCCTCCAACCCTCTCCTAAACCCCCAAATCCCCTATACCCCCAAATCCCCCATAAACCCCCAAATCCCCCCCAAATCCCCCATAAACCCCCCAAAATAGCCCCCATAACCTCCCAAACCCCCCAAATCCTCCTCCAACTCCTCCAAACCCCCAAATCCCCCAAACCCCCTCAATAATTTCCCCAAATCCCTCCAATCCTCCCAACCCCCTCCATCCCCCCAAATTTCCTCCAATCCCCCAAAATCCTCCAAAAACCCTCTCAAATCCCCTCCAAACCCCCAAACCCTCCAACCCCCAAATCCTCCCAAATCCCTCCAAACCTCCCTCTAAAAAGAAAAGCCCCCAAATCTCCCACCTTCCCGAGGTGGTGGCCTCGAGGGGGGCGGGCAGGGAGCTCCCGCTGAGGGCGGCGAGGAGGGGGCTGCGCGTGGAGCCCCCGTCGTAGACGAACAGGTAATCGTAGGTGCACTCCGTGTCCATGAAGGTGAAGGTCAGGAGGAGCCTGTGACGGGGGCTGGGGCTGCAGGGGGACCCCCCAATTGGGGAGGGGTCAGGGGACACCCCAGGGACCCCCAGAGATCGATTGGGATTGATTGGGATTGATTGGGACCCCCCAGGTGCACTCCGTGTCCATGAAGGTGAAGGTCAGGAGGAGCCTGTGACGGGGGCTGGGGGCTGCAGGGGAGACCCCCCAATTGGGGAGGGGTCAGGGGACACCCCCAGGGATTGACTGGGATCAGATTGGGATCGCATTGGGATTGATTGGGATCGATTGGGCCACCCCCAGGAGCACGGGGTGTCCATGAAGGTGAAGGTCAGGAGCAGCCTGTGACGGGGGCTGGGGGCTGCAGGGGAGACCCCCCAATTGGGGAGGGGTCAGGGGACACCCCAGGGATTGATTGGGATTGATTGGGATTGATTGGGATTGATTGGGACCCCCCAGGAGCACGGGGTGTCCATGAAGGTGAAGGTCAGCAGCAGCCTGTGACGGGGGCTGGGGGCTGCAGGGGAGACCCCCCAATTGGGGAGGGGTCAGGGGACACCCCCAGGGATTCGACCCTCAGGGATCGATTGGGATCGATTGGGATTGATTGGGATCGATTGGGACCCCCAGGAGCACTCCGTGTCCATGAAGGTGAAGGTGAGGAGCAGCCTGTGACGGGGGCTGGGGGCTGCAGGGGAGACCCCCCAATTGGGGAGGGGTCAGGGGACACCCCCAGGGACTCCAAGGGATTGATTGGGATTGATTGGGATTGATTGGGATTGATTGGGATTGATTGGGACCCCCCAGGAGCACGGGGTGTCCATGAAGGTGAAGGTCAGCAGCAGCCTGTGACGGGGGCTGGGGGCTGCAGGGGAGACCCCCCAATTGGGGAGGGGTCAGGGGATACCCCAGGGATTGATTGGGATCGATTGGGATCGATTGGGATCCATTGGGACCCCCAGAGACCCCCCAGGAGCACGCCGTGTCCATGAAGGTGAAGGTCAGGAGCAGCCTGTGACGGGGGCTGGGGGCTGCAGGGGAGACCCTCCAATTGGGGAGGGGTCAGGGGACACCCCAGGGATTGATTGGGATTGATTGGGATCGTGATTGTGGATTGATTGGGACCCATTGAGGATTGACTGGACCCCCAGGAGCACTGGGTGTCCATGAAGGTGAAGGTCAGCAGCAGCCTGTGACGGGGGCTGGGGGCTGCAGGGGAGACCCCCCAATTGGGGAGGGGTCAGGGGACACCCCCAGGGACCCCTCAGACCCCCAGGGACCCCCCAAAATCCAGGACCCCCTCCCCACGTGCACTCCGTGTCCATGAAGGTGAAGGTCAGGAGCAGCCTGTGACGGGGGCTGGGGGCTGCAGGGGAGACCCCCCAATTGGGGAGGGGTCAGGGGACACCCCCAGGGACCCCTCAGAGCCCCAGGGATCGATTGGGATTGATTGGGATTGATTAGGACCCCCAGAGACCCCCCAGGAGCACGGGGTGTCCATGAAGGTGAAGGTCAGGAGCAGCCTGTGACGGGGGCTGGGGGCTGCAGGGGAGACCCCTCAATTGGGGAGGGGTCAGGGGACACCCCAGGGATTGATCGGGATCGATTGGGATTGATTGGGATTGATTTGGATTGATTGGGATCGATTGGGACCCCCAGAGGCCCCCCAGGAGCACGGGGTGTCCATGAAGGTGAAGGTCAGGAGGAGTCTGTGACGGGGGCTGGGGGCTGCAGGAGGGACCCCCCAATTGGGGAGGGGTCAGGGGACACCCCCAGGGATCGATTGGGATTGATTGGGATTGATTGGGATTGATTGGGATCCATTGGGACCCCCAGAGACCCCCCAGGAGCATGGGGTGTCCATGAAGGTGAAGGTCAGCAGCAGCCTGTGACGGGGGCTGGGGGCTGCAGGGGAGACCCCCCAATTGGGGAGGGGTCAGGGGACACCCCAGAGATTGATTGGGATCGATTGGGATTGATTGGGATTGATTGGGACCCCCAGAGACCCCCCAGGAGCACAGGGTGTCCATGAAGGTGAAGGTCAGCAGCAGCCTGTGACGGGGGCTGGGGGCTGCAGGGGAGACCCCCCAATTGGGGAGGGGTCAGGGGACACCCCCAGAGATTGATTGGGATTGATTGGGATCCATTGGGATTGATTGGGATTGATTGGGATTGATTGGGACCCCCCAGGTGCACTCCGTGTCCATGAAGGTGAAGGTGAGGAGCAGCCTGTGACGGGGGCTGGGGGCTGCAGGGGAGACCCCCCAATTGGGGAGGGGTCAGGGGACACCCCCAGGGATTGGTTGGGATCAATTGGGATCAATTGGGATCGATTGGGATCGATTGGGACCCCCAGAGACCCCCCAGGAGCACTCCGTGTCCATGAAGGTGAAGGTGAGGAGGAGCCTGTGACGGGGGCTGGGGGCTGCAGAGGAGACCCCCCAATTGGGGAGGGGTCAGGGGATACCCCCAGGGATTGATTGGGATCGATTGGGATCGATTGGGATTGATTGGGATTGATTGGGACCCCCAGAGACCCCCCAGGAGCACGGGGTGTCCATGAAGGTGAAGGTGAGGAGGAGTCTGTGACGGGGGCTGGGGGCTGCAGGGGAGACCCCCCAATTGGGGAGGGGTCAGGGGACACCCCCAGGGATTGATTGGGATTGATTGGGATTGATTGGGATTGATTGGGACCCCCCAGGAGCACGGGGTGTCCATGAAGGTGAAGGTCAGGAGCAGCCTGTGACGGGGGCTGGGGGCTGCAGGGGAGACCCCCCAATTGGGGAGGGGTCAGGGGACACCCCAGGGACCCCGATCGGGATTGATTGGGATCGATTGGGATCGATTGGGACCCCCAGAGACCCCCCAGGAGCACGGGGTGTCCATGAAGGTGAAGGTCAGGACCAGCCTGTGACGGGGGCTGGGGGCTGCAGGGGAGACCCCCCAATTGGGGAGGGGTCAGGGGACACCCCCAGGGACCCCTCAGACTCTCAGGGATTGATTGGGATCCATTGGGATTGATTGGGATCCATTGGGACCCCCAGAGACCCCCCAGGAGTTGCCATTGACGGAGTAGTTGCCGGGGTGGGTCTGGGGGTCCGGGTGGATTTGGGGCAGGCTTTGGGGTCCCAGGGTGAGTTTTGGTGGGCTTTGGGGTCCCAGGGATTTAGGGTGTCTCTGGGGATTTGGGGGGTCCTAGGGATTTGGGGGGTCCCAGGGTATTTTTGGGGTCCCAGGGATTTGGGGTGGGTTTTGGGAGTCTCACCTCGATCAGCCACTCGCAGTTCCAATTGACGGAGTAGTTGCCGGGGTGGGTTTGGGGGTCCCAGGGTGGATTTGGGGGCAGGTTTTGGGGTCCTGGGGTGGGCTTTGGGGTCCCAGGGTTTTGGGGGGTGTCTCTGGGGTCCCAGGATTTGGGGTGGGTTTTTGGGGGTCTCACCTCGATCAGCCACTCGCAGTTGCCGTTGACGGGGATGGGTCTGGGGGTCTGGGGTGGATTTTGGGGTCCCAGGGTGGGTTTTGGGGTCCCAGGGTTTTAGGGGTGTCTCTGGGGATTTGGGGGGTCCCAGGGTATTTTTGGGGTCCCAGGGATTTGGGGTGGGTTTGGGGGTCTCACCTCGATGACCCACTCGCAGTTCCCATTGACAAGGGTGGGTTTGGGGGTCCCAGGGTGGATTTTGGGGGTTTTGGGGTCCTGGGGTCCCAGGATTTTGGGGGTGTCTCTGGGGTCCCAGGGTATTTGGGGGTCCCAGGGTGTCTCTGGGGGTCCCAGGGATTTGGGGTGGGTTTTGGGGGTCTCACCTCGATGAGCCACTCGCAGTTCCCATTGACAAGGGTGGGTTTGGGGTCCCAGGGTGGATCTTGGGGTTTGGGGTCCTGGGGTCCCAGGATTTGGGGTGTCTCTGGGGTCCCAGGATTTGGGGGTCCCAGGATTTGGGGATGTCTCTGGGGGTCCTAGGGATTTGGGGGCGGGTTTTGGGGTCTCACCTCGATCAGCCACTCGCAGTTGCCGTTGACGGATGAGTTTGGAGGCAGGTTTTGGGATCCCAGGGATTTAGTGGGGGGTCCTAGGGTATTTTTGGGGTCCCAGGATTTGGGGGTCCCAGGTATTTTTGGGGTCCCAGGGGATTTGGGGTGGGTTTTGGGGGTCTCACCTCGATGAGCCACTCGCAGTTGCCGTTGACGGAGTAGTTGCCGGGGTGGGTTTTGGGGTCCCGGGTGGGCTTTGGGGTCCCAGGGATTTGGGGGTGTCTCTGGGGGTCCCAGGGTATTTTTGGGGTCCCAGGGGATTTGGGGTGGGTTTTTGGGGTCTCACCCTCGATCAGCCACTCGCAGTTGCCGTTGACGGAGTAGTTGCCGGGGTGGGTTTGGGGGTCCGGGGTGGATTTTGGTGGGGTTTGGGGGTTTTGGGGTCCTGGGGTCCTAGGATTTGGGGTGTCTCTGGGGTCCTAGGGATTTGGGGGTGGGTTTCTGGGGGTCTCACCTCGATGAGCCACTCGCAGTTCCCATTGACGGAGTAGTTGCCGGGCCCGTCGGTGACGAAGCCGCGGGACCCCTCAGGACCCTCCTCTGCCCTTTGCAGTCCCCGGCGCCTCGGGGACACCCAAAACCACAGGGCCCCCCAAAGCGCCACGGCCCCCACGGGGACCCCCATGGCTCGGGGGTGGGTTTTTTGGGAGGGGAGGTCCTGAGGCAAAAAAAGAGGGAGGGAAAATTTGGGGTTAGAAAATTGGGGAGGAGACCTCGAAGGGATCATAGAGAAACCCCCAAAAACCCCATGGGGACCCCCTAAATCGTGCAGGGACTCCCCCTAAACAACAAAGACCCTCCCTAAATCACCTCTGATCCACCCAGTCCCCTCAGGAGCCCCCAGGGACCCCAAATCCCTCAGGACACTCCTCAGACCCCCCAAACCCCCTCAGATCCCCCCAAACCCCTCAGATCCCCAAACCCCTCAGACCCCCTCAAAACCCCTCAGATCCCCCCCTCAAACCCCCTCAGGACACGACAGATCCCCCTAAACCCCCTCAGATCCGCTCCAAACCCCTCAGGACCCCCCTCAGACCCCCCAAATCCCCTCAGGACACCCTCAGAACCCCCAAACCCCCTCAGACCCTCCAAACCCCTCAGATCCCCCAAACCCCTCACGATGCCCCTCAGACCCCCCAAAACCCCTCAGATCCCCCCAAACCCCCTCAGATCCCCCCAAATCTCCTCACAACCCCTCAGACCCTCCAAACCCTTAAAACCCCTCACGACCCCTCAGACCCCCCAAACCCCCTCAGATCCCCCCAAACCCCTCAGATCCCCCCCAAAGCCCCCTAAACCCCTCAGATTCCCCCCAAACCCCTCAGATCCCCTCAGGACCCTTCAACTCCCCCAGACCCCCAAACCCCTCAAATCTCCCCCCCAAACCCCTCAGATCCCCTCAAACCCCTCAGACCACTCAAACCCCCTCAGATCCCCCCCAAACCCCTCAGACCCCTCAAACCCCCTCAGATCCCCCCTAAACCCCTCAGACCACTCAAACCCCTCAGATCCCCCCCTAAACCCCTCAGACCCCCTCAAACCCCTCAGATCCCCAAACCCTCACGACCCCCTCAGACCCCTCAAACCCCCTCAGATCCCCCAAATCCCTCACAAACCCCTCAGATGCCCCCTAAACCCCTCAGATCCCCCAAATCCCCTCAGATTCTCCTAAAGCCCTCACGACCCCCTCAGATCCCCCCAAACCCCCTCAGATCGCCCCAAACCCCTCAGATCCCCCCAAACCCCTCACGATGCCCTCAGACCCTCCAAACTCCTTAAAACCCCTCACGACCCCCTCAGATCCCCCAAAGCCCCTCACGATGCCCTCAGACCCCCAAACCCCCTCAGATCCCCCCAAACCCCCTCAGATCCCCCCAAATCTCCTCACAACCCCCTCAGATCCCCCAAATCGTCTCCAGATCCCCCCAAAACCTCCTAAACCCCCTCAGATCCCCTCAAACCCCCTCAGGACCCTTCAACTCCCTCGGACCCCCAAATCTCCCCAAACCCTCAGATCCCCCCCAAAGCCCCTCACTACCCCTTCAGAACCCCCCAAACCCTCTCAGACCCCCAAACCCCTCAGGATCCTTCAACTCCCTCCGAATCCCCCCCAAATCTCCCCTAAAGCCCCCTCAGACCCCAAACCCCTCAGGCCCCCCAAACCCCTCATGACCCCTCAGATCCCCCCAAACCCCCTCACGATCGCCCCAGATTCCCAAATCGCCTCAGATCTCCCCAAACCCCTCAGATCACCCCAAAACCCCTCAGATCCCCCTCAAAGCCCCCAAACTCCCTCAGATCCCCCAAACCCCTCATGACCCCTCAGATCCCCCCAAACCCCTCACGATCGCCTCAGATCCCCAACTGCCTCAGATCCCCCAAACCCCTCAGATCGCCCTAAACCCTCAGATCCCCAGACCTCTCACGACCGCCTCAGATCCCCTAAACCGTCTCAGATCCCCCTAAAACCTCCAAACCCTCTCAGATCGCTCTCAAACACTCTCAGATCTCCCCAAATCCCCTCACGAACCCCTCAGATGCCCCAAACCCTCAGATCCCCTAAACCCTCAGATCCCCAAACTCCCTCAGATCCCCCCAAATCCTCTCAGATCCCCCCAAACCCCTCACGATCCCTCAGATGCCCCCTTCAAACCCCTCAGATCCCCCAAATCCTCTCAGATCTCCCCCAAACCCCTCACACGACCCCTCAGGTTCTCTCAAACCACCTCACGACCCCAAACCCCTCAGATCCCCCTTCAGGACCTCTTCAACTCCTCCCGACCCCCAAACCCCCCAGACCCCCTCAAACTCCCTTCAGACCCCCAAACCACCCTAGAACCCCCAAACCCCTTAGAACCCCCAAACCTCTCTCAGATCCCCCCAAAGCCCTCACGAACCTCCTCAGATACCCCCTAAACCCTCAGATCCCCTCAAATCCCTCAGATCCCCCAAATCCTCTCAGATCCCCCCAAACCCTCACGAACCCCCTCAGATACCCCTAAGCCCTCTCAGATCCCCAAACCCTCAGATCCCCCAAATCCCCTCAGATCACCCCAAACCCCTCAGATCCCCCTAAACCCCTCAGATCCACCAAGCACCCTCAGATCCCCCCAAACCCCCAGATCCCCAAAGCCCCTCACGACCCCCTCAGGCTCCCCAAAACCCCTCAGATCCTCCCCAAACCTCCTCAGATCCCCCAAAGCCCCCAAACCCCTCAGATCCTCCTAAACCCCCTCACGACCGCCTCAGATCCCCCCAAATCGTCCCTGATCCCCTAAACCCCCCAAACCCCTCAGATCGCCCCAAACACCCTCAGATCCCCCAAATCCCCTCACGAACCCCCTCAGATGCCCCAAACCCCTCAGATCCCCCTAAACCCCTCAGATCCCCCAAATCCCCTCAGATCCCCCCAAATCCTCTCAGATCCCCCAAACCCCTCACGACCCCCTCAGATGCCCCTAAACCCCTCAGATCCCCCAAATCCTCTCAGATCCCCCAAAGCCCTCACGATCCCCTCAGGTTCCCCCAAACCCCTCAGATCCCCCTCAAACCCCTCAGATCCCCCAAAACCCCTCAGATTCCCCAAACCCTCAGATCCCCTCAGATCCCCACAAACCCCTCAGATCCACCCAAACCCCTCAGATCCCCAAACTCCCTCAGACCCCCAAAACCCTAAACCCCCAGAACCCCTCAAACTCTCAGATCCCCCAAACCCCTCAGACCCCCAAACCCTCTCAGATCCCCCCAGACTCCCTCAGACTCTTCAACTCCCCTGACCCCCAAATCCCCCAAAGCCCCCTCAGATCCCCTCAGGACCTTCAACTCCCCGGGACCCCACAAAACCCCCCCAAAACCCTCAGATTCCCCCAGAAGCCCCCAAACCCCCTCCCCCTCCCTCCATCCCCCATCCCCTCTTTCCCCTCAGGCCTCGCCAATTCCAGGTCCCCTGCAAAGGCCCTGCCCGGGCCCCGCTAAAGATTGGATGAAGGGGGATGGAAAAGCTTTGGGGTCTCCCCGACCCTCCTCGGGACCCCCTGGACCTCTCGGGAGGCGCTGCTATGTCGCGATAGAGCCGCGATAGCCGCGATAACCCTCCCCTCTCACCTGCTCGCGGCGGCTCCTCCTGAGGCGGCGGAACGGGGGCGGGGCCTGAGCGGGGGCGGGGGCCAGCGCGGAGGGCGGGAAGGCAGAGGGGGCGTGGTCAGAGCCGCGTTGTGGGCGTGGTCAGCGGGTGGGCGGGGTTTAATGAGGGAGGGGCGTGGCCTCGGCGATTTTTATTTTTTTAGGCAAAAAGGGGATTTTGGGGAGTTAAAAAAAAATAAAAAGGAGTGAGGGTGGGTTTTTTTTTGGAAGGGTGAGAAAAAAGGGGCCAGTTTGGTGCAGGAGGTCGCAGGGGGCGTGGCCTGATGGGAGGGGGCGTGGTCTGATCCAGCAGAGGGTGTGGCTCGTGCCGTATTTGGGGTCAGTTGGGCGTGGTCTGTGTAGTGGGCGTGGCCTGTGTTGCCTCCTGGGACTGCGTGGTGGGCGTGGTCAATGCGTGTGGGCGTGGCTATCCACGGTGGGTGGGGTCTATTGGGCTTTCTGTCTGAGGGGGTGTGGTTTGCATAGGCAAATCAATATGGGCGTGGCTACCTTTATGGGCGTGGCCTCTGCAATGGATGTGGTGTGTGCAGTGGGTGTGGCCAGTGTATGTAAAGCGCCGTGTGGGCGGGTCCTATGCCAGTGCCACCCCCCAGTGGGCGTGGCCTCCATCAGTATTACCCACAGTGGGTGTGGCCTATGCAAATATCCACCCCCCCGTGGGTGTGGCCTATGCAAATCTCCATCATGTGGTGGGCGTGGCCTGTGTAAATCTGCATCATTTAGTGGGCGTGGCCTGTATAAATCATCGAACCCGTGGTGGGCGGGGCATATGTAAATACCCATCGCCGGTGGGCGTGGCCCGCGTGAATAACCCACGGTGGGCGTGGCGCGGTCTGCGCGGTGGGCGTGGCCCACGCAAATCTCCACCCCCTCGGTGGGCGTGTCCCGGTCGGTGGGCGTGGCCTGCTCGGGGCTGTCGGGCCGGGGGGCGATGGGACTGCGGCCGGGGGTTCGGAGGGGCTCCGGGCGCGCTCCCAGGGCAGGGGGTCCCGGGGGTCGCGGGGGTCCTGGGGGCTCCCGGCGCTGCTGCCGCTGCTGCTGCTGCTGCTGCCGCGGGGGGCGGCGCCCAAATACGTGCGGGGCCGCATCAGCACCAAGGAGGTGAGCGGGGGCGCGGGGGCGGCGGGACCCCCATGGGCGGCAGGACCCCCATTTACATCGTGATCCCCCATTTACATCCAGACCCCCATTTACAGCGGGACCCCCATGGGCAGCAGGACCCTGCCATTTACAGTGGGACCCTCCCCATTTACAGTGAAACCCCCGGGCACCAGGACCCCCATTTACAGCAGGACCCCCATTTACAGTGGGACCCCCAATTACAGCGTCACCTGTCCCTATTTACAGCGGGACCCCCAGGGTGTGGAGGGACCTCCCCATTTACAGCAGGATCCCCCCCATTTACAGCGGGACCCCTCCATTGACATCGGACCCCTATCTACACCTAGACCCTCCCCATTTACATGGGGCCCCCATTTACACCAGGACCCCCATTTAAATCAGGACCCCCATTTAATCGGGACCCCCCATTTACAGCAGGACCCCTATTTACTCCAGACCCCCAAATTACACCGGACCCCCCACTGGCACCAGGACCCCCAAATTACACCCCAATCACCCCCACTGGCACTGGGACCCCCAAATTGCACTCCCAATCACCCCCCACTGGCACAGGACCCCCAAATTACACCCCAATCACCCCCACTGGCACCAGGACCCCCAAAATTACAACCCAATCCCCCATTGGCATCAGGACCCCCATTTACATCCGGACCCCCAAATTACACCCCAATCCCCCCACTGGCATCAGGACCCCCAAAAATTACACTCCAGGACCCCCCTCCCCATTCCCAGGTGGGCCCTCCCGCTGCCATGGAAACCCGAGCAGGGCCGTTGCCATGGCAACGCCGGCATGGATTTGGTGGGGGGTGATTTTGGGTCTGGGGAGTCATTTTGGAGTCTGGGGGGTCATTTTGGGCCGGGGGAGGTATTTTGGGTCTGGGGAGGTCATTTTGGGTCGGGGGAGGTATTTTGGGTCGGGGGTTTATTTTGGGTCTGGGGGTCATTTTGGGTCAGGGGTTTATTTGGGGTCTGGGGAGGTATTTTGGGCCGGGGGGTTATTTTGGGTCGGGGGTTCTTAAACTCCAGAGATATTTTATTTTGGGTCTGGGGGCTCTTTCTGCCCTCTCGTGACCTCCCGTGCCCCCAGGACTGGGTTTTCCTCACCCGGTTTTGGTTATTGGGGGTCTGGTTGGGGGTTTATTTTGGGTCGGGGGTTTCAGTTGTATCTGGGGGGTTATTTTGGGTCAGGGGGTTATTTTGGGTCTGGGGTGTCTCTTGCCCCCAGTGACTCTCCGTGCCCCCAGGACTGGGTTTTCCTCACCCGGTTTTGTTTATTGGGGGTTATTTGGGGTTTGTGGGGTGTCAGTTGTATCTGGAGGGGTTATTTTGGGTCAGGGGGTTATTTTGGGTCAGGGGGTTATTTTGGGTCTGGGGGCTCTTTCTGTCCCCTCTGTGACCCCTGTACCCCCAGGACTGGGTTTTCCTCACCCGGTTTTGTTCATTGGGGTCTGGTTGGGGGGGTTATTTTGGGGTCTGGGGGTTATTTTGGGTCGGGGGTTATTTGTGGTCAGGGGGTTATTTTGGGTCTGGGGGTTCTTTCTGCCCCTGTGACCCCCATGTGCCCCCAGGACTGGGTTTTCCTCACCCGCTTTTGTTTCCTCTCCGATTTCGGGCGCCTCGATTTCCATTTTCGCTACCCCGAGGTGAGGGGGCTCCGAGGGAAGGGGGTAAAACGTGGGGGTCTCCCACTCCTGGAGACCCTGACCCTCTGACCCTCGGACCCCCAGTCCAAGTGTTGCCAGAACATTCTGCTCTACTTTCGACGACCCCTCCCAGTGGCCCGCGGTCTACAGGAGGGGGCAAGGTGGGCTGGGGGGATTTTGGGGTCTGGGGGTTATGGGGGTCTGGGGGGTTGGGGGTGAATTGGGGAGTTTGGGGATTGGGGAATGGGGGTTGGGGGTTTTGGGGGATTTTGGGGGGTTATGGGGATTTAGGGAGTTGTGGGGGATTTGGGGGATTTAGGGAGTTATGGGGGATTTGGGGGGGTCTTGGGGGAGTTTGGGGGTTTGGGGTGTTGAGGGGAAGGAGGGAGTCTGGGAATGGGGGTTTGGGGGCGTTTTGGGGGATTTGGGGGTCTTGGGGGAGTTTGGGGGATTTGGGGGCTCTGGGGTGTGACAGGAGGGGGTAAGGTGGGCCTGGGGGATTTGGGGGTTGGGGGATCTGGGGGATTGGGAGGGGGGTTTGGAGGGGTTTTTGGGGTCTGGGGGTGGTCCCTGATTTTTGGGGTCCCCCAGGACTGCCTGGCCAAGGAGTCCTGGGAGGGGTCCCTGGGGTGTATTTGGGAGTTCCTGGGGTGTATTTGGGGGTCCCTGGGGTGTATTTGGGGGTCCCTGGGGTGTATTTGGGGGGGGTCCCTGATTTTTGGGGTGCCCCCAGGACTGCCTGGCCAAGGAGTCCCGGGGGTCCCTGGGGTGTATTTTGGGGGGGGTCCCTGATTTTGGGGTCCCCCAGGACTGCCTGGCCAAGGAGTCCTGGGAGGGGTCCCTGGGGTGTATTTGGGGGTCCCAGGGGTGTATTTGGGGTCCCTGGGGTGTATTTGGGGGGGGTCCCTGATTTTTGGGGTGCCTCCAGGACTTCCTGGCCAAGGAGTCCCGGGGGTCCCTGGGGTGTATTTTGGGGTCCCTGGGGTGTATTTTGGGGTCTTTGGGGTGTATTTGGGGGTCTCTGATTTTGGGGTCCCCCCAGGACTGCCTGGCCAAGGAGACCCAGGGGGGGTCCCTGAGGTGTATTTGGGGGTCCCTGGGGTGTATTTGGGGGTGTATTTTTGGGGGGTGTCCCTGATTTTTGGGGTCCCCCAGGACTGCCTGGCCAAGGAGTCTCGGGGGGTCCCTGGGGTGTATTTTTGGTGGGTTTTTGGGGGGTTTTGTGGGGTTTTTTGGGGGTCCCAGGGTGTGTTTAGGAGTATATTTTGGGGGTCCCTGATTTTTGGGGTCCCCCAGGACTGCCTGGCCAAGGAGTCCCGGGGGGTCCCTGGGGTGTATTTAGGGGTGTATTTGGGCGGAGGGTCCCTGATTTTGGGGTCCCCCAGGACTGCCTGGCCAAGGAGTCCCGGGGGGTCCCTGGGGTGTATTTAGGGTATTTTTGGGGGTGGTCCCTGATTTTGGGGTCCCCCAGGACTGCCTGGCCAAGGAGTCGGTGATCCGGCCCGAGAACAACCAGGTCATCAACCTCACCACGCAGTACCCCTGGTCGGGATGCCAGGTCTGGGGGTTTATTTGGGTCTGGGGGGTATTTGGGTCTGGGGGGTTATTGGAGGATTTGGGGAGGTTTTGGGGTCCTGGGGGCTGCAGGGATCAACCTCACCACGCAGTACTCCTGGTCGGGATGCCAGGTATGGGGGTCTGGGGGGGTTATTTGGGTCTGGGGGTTATTTGGGTCTGGGGGGTTATTTGGGTCTGGGGGGTATTTGGGGGTTATTGGGGATTTGGGGGTGTTTTGGGGTCCTGGGGGCTGCAGGGATCAACCTCACCACGCAGTACCCCTGGTCGGGATGCCAGGTCTGGGGGCCTGGGGGGCCTGGGGAGTCCTGGGGGTCCTGGGGGCGTTATTTGGGTCTGGGGTGTTTTTGGGGGTTTTTGGGGTCCTGGGGGCTGCAGGGATCAACCTCACCACGCAGTACCCCTGGTCGGGATGCCAGGTCTGGGGGGTCTGGGGGTTATTTGGGTCTGGGGAGTTATTTGGGTCTGGGGGTCCTGGGGGTCCTGGGGGCGTTATTTGGGTCTGGGGGTTATTTGGGGGATTTGGGGGATTTGGGGGGTTTGGGGTCCTGGGGGGCTGCAGGATCAACCTCACCACGCAGTACCCTGGTCGGGATGCCAGGTATGGGGGCCTGGGGGGCCTGGGGGTCCTGGGGGTCCTGGGGGCGTTATTTGGGTCTGGGGGTGTCATTTGGGTCTGGGGTCTCGGCAGGTGGTGCCGGGGGGGCTCCTGAGCTGCTCGAGCGGCCAGGGGGGGTTATTTGGGGATATATCGGGGTCTGGTGGGGTTTATTTGGGTCTGGGGGGTGTTATTTGGGTCTGGGGGTTTATTTGGGTCTGGGGGCGTTATTTGGGTCTGGGGGTGTCCTGGGGGTGTTATTTGGGTCTGGGGTCTCGGCAGGTGGTGCCGGGGGGGCTCCTGAGCTGCTCGAGCGGGCAGGGGGTGTTATTTGGGTCTAGGGGTGTTATTTGGGTCTGGGGGGTGTTATTTGGGTCTGGGGGGTGTTATTTGGGTCTGGGGGTGTCCTGGGGGGTTTATTTGGGTCTGGGGTCTCTGCAGGTGGTGCCGGGGGGGCTCCTGAGCTGCTCGAGCGGGCGCAGTTTCCGCTCGGTGCGGGAGCGCTGGTGGTACGTGGCCCTCAGCAAGTGCGGGGTGAGTGCAGACCCCTCCCCAAAAACAACCCAAAAATCCCCAAAAAACCCCCCAAAAATCCAAAAAAATCCAAAAAATCCAAAAAACCTACAAAAAAATAAAAAAAGAACCAAAACCCCTCCAAAAAACCAAAAAGAACCCAAAAACCCCCAAAAAAACCCTCCAAAAAATCCAAAAAAATTCAACCAACCCAAAAACCCCAAAAACTCAACCCCCAAAAACACCAGAAAAACCCTCAATCCCCCCCCAAAAAACACAAAAAAACCAAAAATACCCCAAACTCCCCCCAAAAAAACCCCAAAAAACCAAAAACCCCAATGATCCCTAACCCCCCCAACCCTCCAAAAACCCCCCTAAAAAAAACCCAAAGAAAATCCCCCAAAACCCCCAAACCACCCCAAAAACCCCAAAAAATCCTAAAAATCCTAAAAATCCCAAAATCCAAAACCCCCAAAAACCCCAAAATTCCCCTAAACCCCAGGGGACGGCCTGGAGCTGGAGTACGAGATGGTTCTGACCAACAGGGAAAACCCCAAAACCTCAAACCCCCCCAAAACCCCCAAAAAAACCCCAAAATCCTAAAAATCCAAAAAATCCAAAACCCCAAAAAACCCTAAAAACCCCAAAACCCCCAAAATCCCCCAGGGGACGGCCTGGAGCTAGAGTACGAGATGGTTTTGACCAACAGGGAAAACCCCAAAACCCCCAAAACCCCCAAAAACCCCCAAAAATACCCAAAAATACCCAAAAATCCCAAAACCCCAAAAACCCAAAACCCCAAAATCCCCCCAAATTCCCCAGGGGGACGGCCTGGAGCTGGAGTATGAGATGGTTCTGACCAATGGGGAAAACTCCCCCAAAACCTCCCCAAAACCCCAAAACCCCCAAAATACCCTCAACCCCAAAAATACCCCAAAATCCCAAAATCCAAAAACCCAAAAACCCCAAAATTCCCCAAAACTCCCAGGGGACGGCCTGGAGCTGGAGTGCGAGATGGTTCTGACCAACGGGAAGCCCCCAAACCCCCCAAAAACCCCAAAAACCCCAAAACCCCCAAAACCACCCCAAAAAATACCCAAAAATCCCAAAAATCCCAAAACCCCAAAACCCCCAAAATTCCCTAAAACCCCCAGGGGGACGGCCTGGAGCTGGAGCACGAGATGGTTTTGACCAACTGGGAAAACCCCCCAAAACCCCCAAACCCCCAAAAACCCCAAAAACCCCAAAAATCCACAAAAATCCCAAAATCCAAAAACCCCAAAAATTCCCTAAAAGCCCCCCGAGGGGATGGCCTGGAGCTGGAGTATGAGATGGTTTTGACCAACGGGAAAACCCCCAAAACCCCAAAAAACCCCAAAAATACCCTCAAAATACCTCCAAAAACCCCCAAAAACTCCTCCAAAAATACCCAAAAAACTACCCAAAATCCCGAAAAATCCCAAAACCCCAAAAACCCAAAAACCCCAAAATTCCCTAAGCCCCAGGGAGATGACCTGAGCTGGAGTATGAGATGGTTCTGACCAACGTGAGAACCCCAAAACCCCCAAAAATACCCCCAAAATACCTAAAAAATCCCCAAAAATCCTAAAAATCCCAAAATCCCCAAACCCCCAAAAACCCAAAACCCCAAAATTCCCCAAAACCCCAGGGGATGGCCTGGAGCTGGAGTGCAGATGGTTTTGACCAGCAGGGGACTCGTTCTGGACCCGACACTTCTCGGCTGACGAGTTCGGTGAGGGGTTTATTTGGGGTCAGGGGTTATTTGGGAGTCAGGGGTTTATTTGGGGTCTGGGGGGTTATTTGGGGTCTGGGGGTTTATTTGGGGTCAGGGGGTTATTTGGGGTCTAGGGGTTTATTTGGGGTCTGGGGGTTTATTTGGGGTCTGGGGGTTTATTTGGGGTCTGGGGGGTTATTTGGGGTCTGGGGGTGTTGATTTGGGGTCTGGGGGGTTTATTTGGGGTCTGGGGGTTTATTTGGGGATCTGGGGGTTTATTTGGGGTCTAGGGGGTTATTTGGGATCTGGGGGCTGATTTGGGGTCTGGGGGTTGATTTGGGGTCTGGGGGTTATTTGGGGTCTGGGGGTGCTGATTTGGGGTCTGGGGGTTTATTTGGGGTCAGGGGGTTATTTGGGGTCTGGGGGTTTATTTGGGGTCTGGGGGTTTATTTGGGGTCTGGGGGTTTATTTGGGGTCTGGGGGTTTATTTGGGGTCTGGGGGTTTATTTGGGGTCTGGGGGGTTATTTGGGGTCTGGGGGTTTATTTGGGGTCTGGGGGTTTATTTGGGGTCTGGGGGTTATTTGGGGTCTGGGGGCGTTTATTTGGGGTCTGGGGGTTTATTTGGGGTCTGGGGGGTTATTTGGGGTCTGGGGGGTTTATTTGGGGTCTGGGGGTTATTTGGGGTCTGGGGGTGTTCATTTGGGGTCTGGGGGTTTTATTTGGGG